TGATAAGACTTCCGCTCAAGGACGTTTGAAATAAATCTTGCAGCGCATTTTCTCTGCAACGCACTTGAACATACAACACTACTGGTTCAATTAACGGATATGTAGATCGATTTTTAATCTACACTTCTTCACCGCGCCATACAGAAACTGCGATCGACGTCGGCCAACGCATTTTTCAGAATCCTGAGGTTTGTGGGCAAGCGTTTCCTTTTCTCCTCTCGCCTTCCGTCCTCTTCCAACTTTTTTTTTTCGTGTTTGCTCTCGCTCCAACTTTCGGGCAATAACATACTAGTGCGGAAACGCTGACTACGTTGGCTACTGATATATCTATTTTCCTTACTTCCTCGTCATCGGTGTGGAAAAGCTTATAAGTCTTCCATTCGTGAAGGCAATAATCAAAGGTGTCACTGTTGATGAAACCCTTAAAGAAGTAATTTCTCGTTGTACTGTTCATTGTTTTCCAGTATTTTATTCAATAAAAAGTAGTGTTTCTTTTTAACTTTAATTTGCGGTGTAAGTAATCGACTGGAATATCCTAGTTGTTGTATCCTTTTTTTGGTTATCATCTTCTGACAAAAAAAACTGAAATTATTTGTGACAGAAACTTGAAGGCTAATTATTTATTTTAGTAATAAATAGACTATTTATAGGCAATTTGTTGTTAGGGAGGCAGTAGTGCGGTTCCATTTTCCCCGTTTCTTCCTGCCCCATCAGTCTCGAGTTCTTTCTTACTGCATTTGTTCCGATGACATCCTTCAACCTAGTGCAACGCACGCCTGCAACTTCGTTTACCCAACATCTCAAACTTTCACCCTTACAGGCGAGCTTTAGAAATCCTTACTTCAGTTATTTTATGCATAAGAAAAAAAATGTTTTTCTTGGCCGCACAATGGAAAGGCTGAATGAGACATTCTTAGATTAACTTTTTCAAATTTCCCCAACGCCACAGAGTGGATTCTTTTTCTGGCCAGCTCCGAGATATAACTTGGTCTCTCAGAAAAGTTGAAAGAGATCTCTCGAAACTTTGCGACTATGGAAACTATCCGACTTGGAGACCATCACAAATGGGATCTTTTGAAGAGGGAATAGACGTTAAACGTACAGGTAAAATAATGGATAGTTACAGATATATAGTAACATTATCAGCAATCCTCTGTTACTAGTGCTTGTTATGTTATTTTGTTATATATTTTGAACGCTTCATCTTTGTGATAATTTGTTTGTCATAAATTAGCATAAGCTTTAGCAGAAACATCGCTTTATTTTGAAAGAAACGCGCGACGGAAGAAGCATTATTTGTCCACGATCGGTCATCAACTTCTATCTCGGACCGTATTTTCCTTCATAATTTTCTTGAAATGAAGTCAAACTAAGCACTTGATGGCCGCTTAATAGAGGTGACAACAGCAGAACTCTCGTTGGGACGGCTATGGAAGCGGCCGCGGCCGCTTAATGAAGATTTAATTTCCCATTATTTTCTACAATTATTTCGGGACTTTGATTACTGGCCGCTTAATAGAGGGTGGCCGCTTAATGGAGATTCAACTTCTAAACCGTGAACAGTAAAACATTTTGACATTGGTAGGGAAAAAATTACAGACACATTTTATCCTTTCAAATTCTATTCTGCTGGACCTTTTACTTCAGGATTAGACAACCAAGGAGTGATAGCAAATGTGCTGATGTCTCTACCCGAGACCAAGCAGATTTCATCCACAAGCCACCCAGGGGTCAATTTAATAAAACTTTTACAAGTGTAAGTTACAAGAGTAGCCATCTGAAAAGAATAGCTACTCTTGTAAATTACACTTGTAAAAGTTTTATAAAATCATCCCAGGTTTGTTTTCTTATTCAATAAACAAAGCACAGTTTACCTTATGTCCTCAGTCCATGCACCTGGCTTGTGATCTTGCATCTACATAAAGAAACGAAAATCATGTACTCCATCAGAAGCATAAAACTCTGAAGCGTATCACTCTGCTCCAGTGCTGGGCATTTAGGGAATCAATCAAAATTTACTTCCTACATGTACAATATGGAGTTATTAAAGTACGCAAAAACGAGCAACAAAAAACATGCAACTTGTTTTGCAACATTGCCGCAAAACGAAATGCAAAGCGACGTTGAGCGTTTTACCACCCTCGTCAAACCTGTCTCGCACCAAATCAGGTTGTTGACAGGTTTGAACGTGGGTGGTAAAACGTGCAACATCGCTTCGTTTTTCAGCAATGTTCCAAAACAAGTTGCATGTTTTTTTTGCCCGTTTTTCCGTATCTTAAGTTGCCCGTAGCCTGCGTAGCTGGCGGTATTGTGTAGTAGTCAAATATCAACCGCCTCGTCCCCTACTCCCTTTTATTGGAACACCGCTCCGCCGCCAAAACTTTAATCTCGCACCCACACAATACCGCCAGCTACGCAGGCTAAGTTGCCCGTTATATGCGTGACTATCGCGTTTTCGGAAAATGACACTGCAGTGTTTCAAACAATCTCGAAACTATCTGCTGGACACAAGCACATTCACTTAATCACCTGCCAAAATGTAGGACTTAAACAATTGCAAAAAAGGCAAAGGTGCCTCTAGCCCCTCTGCCGAACCTTCCAAAGAGATTATGGAGTTAGGATAACACGACGGCGACTACAGCAAAAACGCGTCTTTATTAAAAGTGACTTTGCTTTCTTTAAAACTAGAGATAACCGTATTTACTCGATTACACACCACCCTCGCATAAAGGCCGCAGAAGGAAGAAAAATTGCCTATAAATGCCCTCCTCAAATAAGCGCCGTACCCAATCGGAAGAATGCGGCGTATAATCATCTAGGCAATTGCAATTCTCTTTCAAAAAGAGAGCGAGAAATTGAAACTTTTGATATCTCCAGCATACAATTTTTCAGTGTCGCTATCTTTTATGAATTGAATCTTCTTTCTTTTTCCACTTTTAAAAGTATAAAGACCGCAAAAAAAAAAAAAAAACATTATTCTCTCTTGAGATAGTTAATGCTGATGTCGTGTGTTTGAAATTTTCATGTAAAAATATTAATAGTGATTAAAACCACAAACTAACGTAAAAATTTCCAATACTGGCTCGGTTCTTAAGGTAACTTTAAGGCTTTCTCTTCTTCGCATAGTACTGTCTTAATTAATTTTCACTCTTAACACACGGTCGTCTTTCTCGTCTTCCAATCCTAGATATGAGGACAGAGAAGGTATCTGGTGAACACCCAACACATGTGAGAGCGAGGCAATCGCCTTATTTAAAGAGCAGTCAGGAGCGCTTCGTCGTACCGGACTTCCTTGTTGCTTGGCAGGTAGGCAGGACCAAAACTGACTACATGAAAGAAAATCCTCTCAAAGTGCAAAAGTGCAATATTCACGTAGTTCTCATACAATTACAAAGATTCACTGCCACGCGTTGCGATAGGTCCTGGGATATGATCTCCAACATAGCTTAGTTCTCATATATAGTGCACTATCATGATTACAGGCATCCACGGGTCACTCTTTGAAGGACATTGTTTTGTTTTGTTTTGTTTTGTTTTTTTTTTTCAGTCACACAAATAAAAAGATGACAGTTTGTCTAGCTACTGACCGTTCCGTAAACTTTCAAGATCCATTACATCCTAATTAAATTCTCCAAAGAATGTGTAAATACAACATAGCGAGCCATAAGTGGTCTCATTCCATGCATAGTGAAATTGGCGGGGAGCTCAAATCATGAAACGGCCGGACGTTCACAATTGTTGCAATTTATTTAAATATTTGTTTTTTCTTTAGAACTGAAAGCAAATGCATGACTATAAACTTGCGTGTTTAGTGGGCGGATCTCTAAAAACGGTCTTGATCTAGAAACTAATAGGTGGAGAAACAGAGCAGAAAACTGATCCTTGGCGCCAGAGAAGAAAAGCAAAACACAACAGAACAAAATAAAATACAAATTTTCAAATTTTCTGCGCGCGGTTTCTCGGTTTGAAACACAAACCTTCGTTGGAGGCTAAAACTAAATACTTTAGATTATTTACGTTACGATCGTAATGATAGAGGAATTTAAAGATGAAACCAATAAGTGTGACTGACATGTGACTTACAAGGGTTTGAAAACCTTCGAAGAATAAGAAAGATAACAAAACATGGAAATCATAGGTAACTAAAATGAAAAGCGACTAACTTAACTTCATAATGTAACTTAGCTTACGATACAATAAAAATGTTACAATCGGTTATTAAATAGATTATTATTCATTCAAATATTTCTTCGTTTCTGATTGGCTTTAAATCCCGGTCTTATTCCTTCTCCTGAAGACGAGTGATTACCCAGATCTGGTGAGTGCTTCTGATTGATTGAAGCAAATATCCCTCCCGGCACGACCAATCAAAAGTACTGCCCAGATCTGGGAAGTGACACGTCATCAGCTCGTTTCTCAGACGCTATTTCGCAGGGAAACCAGTAGTTGCGTCGCGAAATGTCGGCTGTTTTCTCAGGCTGAGTGTGGAAAAAAGGCTAAAAATCCTAGTTTTTTGTGCAACTTTGGTAGGGGCTTGAAATTAGAAAGGCACTCTTTAAGGTGTTTCAATACAGTTTTTCAGAGGCCAAACCGATATTTTTCAATCGCCTTAAGAGTGTTTTTTTCCATGTCCGATCGCTATAAAATTTTCACCAGCAATTGGCTACGGATTGAAATTTGTGAAAATGCAGTTTTAAGTAAAATCGATATTACTATGACAACAATAAACAAAAAAACTTTGGAATTGGTAAAGGCCGAATTTTGTGTGATCTAGACTAGCTACCGAAAACTACTGGTGAAAATTTTATAGCGATCGGACAAGGAAAAAGCCACTTTTAAGACGACTGAAAAATATCGGTATGGCCTCTGAAAAACTGTATCGAACACCTTAAGGTAGGCAGTTCGGAATAAGGACAGCTGAACTGGTGCCTAACTTAAAAATAACCTGAAAATAAGTTGTTTTGTAAAAATAAGTGATTCCATAGACATTATACACTGTGTTTTATTCCTTAAAGGAGTCCTTCCCAGGTTACGATCCGCCACAATACACCGCACGAAAAATTCAAAAGGCGCCAGTAACCGAGGCAGACCCTGACATTATGGAGTAAGCAAGTTATTTCTTTTTAAAAGCTAATATTTATGGCTAGTTTCACGATAGGTAGATAGTTATCATGCCCTCTTCCATAAAAACTTCAGCCCAACGTCAACAAAATATTAAAGCAGGGACAATGGAATGAGATTTAGAGAAGTCGACGCAACAGCCAATCAGTGCCACAGCTGATTTCGAAGGAACAACTTACAGTGTGAATAATGAAAATAGAAACTCTTAAACCATAAGTGACGTTCGACATGCACAAATATTAACGATGGCGATGCTGCGAACAATCAACGTTCCCGGGGTACTCTTTCTTCCTCGGGAGGACCCTGGGAACATGTTGGCCGACATCGTCTCCTGATGAAAATCAGTTGTAAGCGGTTGAAATATCGCTATAAAGATCAAGTGACCACTGGGAGATAAAGCCTACAATAAGCTATCTGAACGACACTCACTCATGAGTAACAGTTGTGAGTTATTTCCTATTTTTCGCTCAAGAGTTCTTGCAAGCTAATGTTTTATTCTAGTAGAAATTATAACAGACGGTGATGACTTAAATGTTTGCTTATATATTTTACATTAATCTTAATAAACTCTTCTATTCCATGTAAATATGTCGTCATATTTTTTAGAAAAATCACGAATTTCCCAACGTTGAGGAATGCCTTGCGTTCGAAAGGATTTCCCAAACGGTGCAGTTTATTTTTCTAACACCTACATCTTGAATATAGTTTAGAAGATTTCAGATATCGACAGCAACTAGATACGCGCTGGTTGGAAATTTGATTAGAGAAATGACAAGTTCAGATCGGAAGTAGTTTGCTTAGTTTTTGCAAATTTCTTTCGACCACTGTTTATCCTGTGTCAGTATGGTATTAACCAATAGTTCGTCTCTACTTTCAGCCCTACTAACAAGAGTTTGGTCATCAAATTTAACTCCGACGAAGATATGATAAACAGACGAAGCCATTGTGGGGAGATTGAAGTGGTCGATCGGTTGCCTAGGTAATAGTGTGCCATTTTTTTTGCATCGCTAAAAGTGGACGGAGACTGCCAATAGAACAAACACCACTAAATCGAAATCAACTGTTATCAGCACTGTACAAACGACTAATCAGGCACTTAGCAAGGAGTACGGAGGGTCTAATACGGTGAACGGAAGTAATTTTTCTCCAGCCACCCGTCAATGCCTCAAGTAGGGAGTTTAAGACACCTCGACGGCTATGGCGGTAAGAACGTCGCTTACTAGTGAATTCACGTTCTATCCCGCCCCAATAATTCCAATTCGCTTACTTTGACAAATGTTGGCGAACTCTCCTGAAGTTGAAGACTTGCAGTGACCCCCGCGGCAAAGAAGTGTACCACTTAACATAACTAAGAAAGTGCGATGCATGGGCAAATTCAGGATTTGCTTGTGTTTTACCAGCCCTTATTTACACCACTTGAGGTTCTTTCCCTTCAACCGTATTTTGTGTCTTTCGCTGTATTTTTCACTTGGGTGTCGTACCTGACACTGAATTTGGGGCTCATGATAAAACACAAGCGTTCTTAAATTTCCAAGGTTGACCAAACAAGAATAAGGGCCTGTGCAATAATTACCTGGAGGCGGGGTTGGAAAATTAGAGGGGGGAGGGGGGTCATGGGAGAAAATGACAACAAGAGAGAGGGGGTGGATGTAAAATTTAATACATACGGGGGGGAATTACTTTTCATTCCTTTTTGCAAACTGGAAAAGTAGTGGGAGAGTTATCAGAGTTCAAATATAAATACTAACATTGGAATGAAACTGACAAATTTATCAACTCTAAGGTGTTCTGATCTATGAACTGTTGTTTTCCTATCTGTTATGCAGTATGAAAGGAATGCCTCTGTTATACATGTTAAAACAGTGCTACTTTATTTGCACTAGGATTTAATAAAACAGGAAACTTTAATTAAAAGTTGCAAAAGTAGCACTATGATGTTATTCACTGAAAAAGAAAGATGCCAATGTTAGCACACATGGCATCATAATTTAGCAGAATGAAAAACCCAGCTGTTGAAATTTTAATAGAGATACAAATTTAAAGTATGGTAAATAAGACACAGTATGATTAAATTGAGCTTCAAAAAAAAGAAGCTCAATCAGACAGGAATTCCTGAGTTCTCACCCACGCACGCGGGAACCTTAGTGCCAAAGATGCTGTAGAAGATGAGGAATCTCCCAATTCATGCGAAGACGACACAAGCTCAGAGTCCAGTGAGTTATTTGAAGTGATGTTTGTACCGGAGGAAGAAATCCAACAAGTAAACTAGGTATAAGCGAATCGATGGGAGAAGACTTTTTTTAAGGGTGTGTGGGGGGGGGTGTTAGCCTTAATATTATCATTATGTGAGGGGGGCTTGAAATTAATTTTTGCTTAATGAGAGGGGGGTATATGACTTGGTTTTGGGGCATATTTCACCCATTTTCCACCCCCCTCTCTAGGTAATTATTGCACAGTCCCTAAAATGCGTATGTCTTGCAATTCTGTTTCAAATATACACTGGCGTTCCAATCATGTAAAACAACTAAGTACAACGAAGTTTAATCAACAAATCACGGAGAACTTTGCACGTGCATGTTATTGTTTTTTCTACATTTTTTCGCCATCAATGCACGACCTCGACGTGAAATTGTCTAATTTCACGTTTTATGGAGGACGTAATCAAACTATGCAGGGGCACCCAACGAGAAGATAGTTCAAAACCACTTAAACATAGCATTGTTAAACGTATTTTAGTATTTAAACGGTAGATATAGGCATATTTTTATCCCCTAAAATTTTTTTACCTGTTCAGATTTCCTAGCTGAAAGTCTAGTGATCCGAAAATTATTGGGATCAAAACTTACCTTTTCGAAAACTGATTTCAGCCCGAAAAAAGGCTCCCGAAAATTCTAGGTGACCTTTTTAGGGTAAAAATCCGTTAAAAATAGGCAATTATACCATTTTTTAAATGTTCGAAAATCCTAGGAGAGGCAGGCAAGCAAAAAATTTTACAACAAATGTTTCGAAAATTCTAGATCTCAAATCGTCTTCCGAACAGATATTCTTCCGAAAATTGTCGTTGGGTGCCCTGACTATGATGAACTTTTTCCCCTTCTGAACTTGGATTTGGGTTTCGCCTACATTTTACAAAGTAAGCGACTTGCAATAATCGGGTAAAAGTTTGAAAGAATGCAAATTCACTTTTAATCAAAAAGCAACGTTTTGACCGCTGTCGCTTTATCTTATCTCGAGGCATTGACGTGTGGTGGGAAAGTATTACTTCCGGACACCGTATTAGACTCATCTGTAGACCCATCTTTACTCCTTACTTTAAGTCCCCATTGACGGACTCAGCGAAACGAGCAACGATGGAATTACTGAACAACTGACAATTTCACTAACAATATACGAACGTTAAACTGTATCGAAACGCGATAACCTCACTACTTAACTGACAGACGACCAATAACATCAGGCCTTAATTGACCAATCAGGTCAAAAACTAGAGTTTAATACCATCAACTGACGAGATACAACTCACTTTGTCTCTGAAGACGACTACCGCACAGGTTATCGAAACGTAGGTAATTGTAATCAACAGTGCTATTCAGGACTACAATGACCAGGACGATCATATTCGACCAACGGATTACTTATTTTTATTATCGTTTATCTAGGGAATTGTATAATCTAACTAACATGAGTTGTTGGACGAATTGTAGCGACAAGCTGCAGCCAAAGCATGATCATTTTGACTTCCTTCAAGAAACGCATAAAGTCAAACCAGTTCTCGATCCACCTGAGCTTTTTCTGCTTTTTCACACCAGGATATTGCCACCCCGCTTCACCTATTAAAACGTAATATCTTGCAGCATCTCACGCACAATTAAAAAAGCATTCCTGAGATATGCAGGGAGCGTTTAACAATTCAAATGGGAGGCAATTGAATATATTACAATGTGGTAGGATCGATGACTCCATTGGCTGCACATTTACCTAGTTAGTTACTAGGCATTAAAGCTGAGCAACACTTCGAAAAACATTCGAGAGATAGCTTTGGTAAAATCATGAACATAGACGGGTTGTAAAATGTTTTTCTCCCTTATATCTTAATGCTATACATACATACTGTACATACATCATCTAAGCAACTTGAAGGGTACTAACAGTAAGATGTATCTTGGTTCCAGAAACCCTGTTGGCAGAACTGGTATCACAGGACGTGGTTTGTTTGGTCGATGGGGACCCAATCATGCAGCTTATCTTATCATCACAAGGTCGTGTCTCTGATAATTTACAGGAGAACTTAATTAAGTAAAGTAAAGTCAAAAGTCAAAACTTTATTTACCCTGCAGAATGAGTCAGTAATACAGTAAAGTACTGCTGGTATAAATTCATGTGCAGCCAAAATTTTTACATCTAAATATATATAAAACATGATAAAATCTGAAGTAAAGAAAATACGCATTTAAAATAAAAACGTAAGATCCGTAGCAATTACATGATACAGTACATGATGATGATAAAAATGGATATGCAGTCAAGTCAACTACTAAGGCTTTCCGCCCAACACTAATGGTCACTTTTATCTGCTTTCAGCAGGAAAGTATAAATCTTGGACTTAAATGTGTTAATTAAAAGTTGTCTATTGATCTTAGCCATTCATTTCGGTAAAAGGTTCCTGTCACTGGCAGCGGAATATTGAAATGTTTTTTGACCCAATGCGGATTTCGCGCGAGGAAGATTGAAAAGATACTTGTCCCTTAAGGATCTTGAATGTATAGTGTGCCTAGTAGGAAGATACGAGATAAAGTGCTCGAAACAGTTAACAATTATTCGCCAAAGGCAAAAGTAATATTGTTGGATAATCTCCGCGACTTCGTCTCGGGGATTATTTAACAATGTTTACTGAGTTTGAAAAGAATAATTGTTTAGTACATGCACACGAAGTGATCTCAACAGCCATTAAAAACAAGGATTAGTTTGATTGACAGGTGAATTCATGTGTGAACATGTAGCCGTAAACAGTAGATGCGTAAAAGTTAGATCATTACACAGTGGCGAATCCAGAGGAGGGGCCCCGGGCGCCCGCCCCTCCCCTTATTTTTAGACCAAACTGAGGCCCGAAGGGTAGAAAAAATTTTTTTGGAGACCGGTCCTCCCTCCCCCTTATCTAAGGGTCTGGATGAAATTTGAAGGTCTGGATCCGGCACAGTTACAGGATCTTCAAACATGGCAAATCCTTATTTTGATCTTTTTTTTTATGCTTTAACATCAATGGATTAAAAGAAAACGTCTAAAGTTTAAATTACTACCCCTACTGAGAAGAAACGTAGAGCTTTATCTGCTTCTGTCAAGTCACTGTGAATAAGAAAGTTTTTTGTCGCTTCTTGCAAATGCTCTACACAGCGGCGGGCGACCCTAAATCGATTTCTACACTCCAGATTGCTCTGACTAGCATAAGGGATAAGCGCCTCGCGAAATATTCTCGCGAGAAATTTGAGAAAGATTCCAACTCATTGACATTTCAACAGTTTGACAGCCGAAATCTAATTATCTCAAAGGTGCCAAAAATGGGCGGAAGAGGGTCGTAAAATAAATGATTACAGGCTCTCTATCCCTTCCCTTTTCCTTCTTCCCGCCCCTTTCGCATTTTCCCCACTATCTGAGAGCCTGGAACAGGCTACGATATCTTTCATACATTCATCCAGTTATTCAGTTGTCCGTTAATTCTTTTATCCCTTTGCTCATTTATGTGTACACTTTTTCTTTCACATTTTTTTACACTATTGTCTAGATGGAAGATGGACGCAAATAAAACGATTGTGCAAAAGAAGGGCAAACAAGTTCTGGAATTTGTGACCCTTAAAAGCCGGACTTTTGGGTAGGTCCTCTTTTGTTAAATTGTGGGAATTCAGCTACCTTTTTCGAGTGATAATTCTTTCCCTGACTTTCAGTCTTCACCGGAGCTCAAGGGTGCTAAAAAAGAACATTTCTTTTCTTTCCATTGCTCTTATGTCGTGACAAATAAAGTAAAAAATTAAAGTATTGCATGGGATATAATCTTTTATTACAATTTTATTTATTTATTTTTTTGACATAGAAGGAAGACTAATGAATTGGATTTGGAGATTCCTGGGGTAAGGTGCATTTTTATGATATCTGTGCCACAGGTGTGCTTTAGCAGACCATAATAACGCTGACGTAGCGAGCGAAGGTTACAAAGGTAGCGGGACGTAAGTTTCCAAACCAGCTCCCATTCTTGCGGTGTGCATGTATAAACGAGCTAAGTCAGCAAATTAAACTAAACTAGGCACCAAAACGAGAGAAACATAAGAATAACTTCTTAAAACACTAAAGAAAGATTTGAATGACAAAGCAGACAAAAGCAGTTTTTTAAAGTCCATTGGTATTATTGTAGCTCAGAATTAATTTTTCGAAGGCATGCTTGTTTGGTACAAAATCGTGACCTTGTTATTCACAAATAATTTCTTCGCCAACGTCAAGGTCCATAGCGAGTAAGGGCGAGTGACTGGCAATTCAAAACAAACTGGACTGAACACAGTCTTCTTTAAGACTTGTTACAATCATTACAGTCTAGTACTGTAATAACTGAACACCTAAGCTGCTCCCATAGTTAAGGGTTCACAGCTCAGTCAATGATAGAAAAACGCAAAGGTAGCAGTTATTGTTAACATTGCGTTCTCCATAACTCAAGCGAGAATCACTGTATGATTTTTTTGTGTTTTGTTCGAATTTTTCCACACTTTTTAATAACATATTTATCGAAAATATGACGCTACCCTTTGCTTAAGAAACTGCCATCTACAAGTCGTATCTCTATCCAGTCAATTCCAAACCGCGATCACCCCCCGGGCATATCCCGGGTATTTGAGTAGAGTTTAGTTCCGTACATGACCCAAAATGATGCCCGACCGGTCGGGCATTTGAATTTCGTATCACAATGTTGCTCAGCAGTCGCAAGCAAAAAGATTTAGTTTTTTTTTTTTAAATTCAGAATGTGCATGCACCACTTTCACGGATCATTGCTCCCGTTGATCAATTGTGATTCCATTTTGGTTTTTCTTCTTATTGTTATTATATACCGCCGTTTATTTAATATACCTTTGTTCAGAGCCTGGAGTGAAGCTATGGTTTTTTGTTACTTTTAATAATGTTTCATAGTTATTTTCTGAATCAGAAAAAGCGATAAATGATTAGTCACTGTATTTATTTATAGATATATGGTAAGTTTATTCACTGTTGGAGAATTTGAGGGCCTTTAAAAAGCCCGTTAAAAGTGGTCTTTCTGAAGCGAGCAATTTTATTGAAAACAACCTCTGTAAGACAGCTATCAGAGACTTTACATAGTTCGGTTGTGTTTAGTAGGATGTTTACATTTGAATAAGCGGTTCGATGCATGGGAAAATTTTTTAATAGTCGCTTTAATTCATTGTGATTGGAGTAAGGAATTTGACTATTTTTTAACCTTGAGCTGGTGGGGCATTTGACCATCTAAACTGCCAACATACCGGGAAATTTGACCAAACCTTTTCAACAGTATTGCGCAATAAATTAAAATCAGTTGTTTACTTTCTCAGGGTATGATTGAGGCCTACGATTCAGTGTCGCGAACATTGATAAAATCATTAAGGGAAAGAACTATACCATGTCTTAAACCCACCATCGCCGAAGGTACTTTGGAGACACGTGTGCGTAAAATAATCGAAACTTCTGAAGAGGTTAGTTTTAGATAGTATGGAATTTCTTTCGTAGAGTCGCAGACGTTCCTCTGCCCGAAACGTCCCCAGCGGCGAATAGCGAGGAGAAACGGCTTTTTCCGCAGCCTAGAAACACGGTGGAATCTCATTAAGTTGTAGTGGTATACATTAGCCCTGATGATGTCATAGCCTTTTGTCTATATCTAATGAATAAAGCACGGTGGAAACTCATTAAGGTAACATAGCGGGCTATTTTTAGTTGCTATAAATAGTTTCACAGGTTTTAGATCGATGATGTTATAGTTTTTTTTCAGTTGTGTGCGTCATCCTAATATTTGGTCATGATGTCAACAATGACTTGAAATCACTAAGCCGTAATGTAATTATATGAGTTCTATTTTCTGCCGCCTTTATTGTCCATTAAAGACAACGAATTTTTGTAGTTCCGTTTTACTGATTTTTGGAGCGCACATTATACATATTGATGAGGGCGAACGCAAACTTGCTATTTCCATCACTAAACACAACTTTTTACCAAGCCCTTTCACTATCCTACGCCCCCACAATTCAATTATTTCGTTCCTCGTCCTTTTTATTGTTTCCCCTTATCCTCCTTTTCATCTCTATTTTTCTTCTTCTCCCTTCTCCTGCTTCACTAAAACAATATCGACCCTACATCGATCCCATGTCACTCCTACAACACGAATGAGGAGGAGGAGAAAAACAATGCAGATGAGGCGAAATTAGGATGTGGGTGAACAATAGAAACAAGGAGGTGGAAAAAGAGGGAAACAATAGAAAGGTGGTGGCGCTGGTGGTGCAGGGAGAATAGTAGAAATGTGGTGGCGAAGCAAAGGGGAAAAATTAATCAAGGAGACGTACGAAGGAGAGAGGGATAGCTATAGAGTTGTTTTCAGTACTAGAAATAGCTATTCGCCACGAATCAGTGAGCCAAAACTGGAATGGTTGGTTGTCTGTAACGGACAATGAAAGCGGCAGGGAATAGAACTTGCATAATTACGATACAGTTAAGTGATTTTAAGCAACTAACCAAACAACTATGACATCATCGATTTAAAAGCCTGTCAAACCGGTCTGAAGCAACTAAAAATAACACGTGACGTTATGGTAACGAGTTTTCACCCCATTTTATTCAAGATATAAAGACGAGAGCTGAGGCTAAAACTCCATCGCTGTTTATGTACTATTAGTGAACTTACACCGAACTTAGACGGGAGGAAAGAAGACGGCGAGCCTTGTGTGACAAACGTGACAATAATTTTGTTTGAAATAACTTTTCGCCAAACTTCACTTTCCTTAAAACACAGGGTCGGCAGGGGGTCTCGTGTAAAAATACCAAAATTAAGAACAACACGGTATACTTTTTACCTAAAACTGGTCATGAAGGAATACTTTATACCCAATTATAAGAATAAAAATAGTGTATAACTGAAATTAAAGACTCCAATATACTGTTTACCCAAAACCTCTGGCAGACCCTGAAAACAGATATTTTTTTAAAGACCACAATACTTTAATTTTAAGTGAAGATCAAGACAAAACACGCAAGTAATACCCCTGTCACGTTTGTCACACACAAGCGTTTTGCCGTCCTCTTCTTACCACCTTCCTGTTGCGTAAACTCAATAGAGCAATTTAGCAACAGAACGGGAACGTCAGTTGACGACTGCGCACGCAAATCAAACAACTGGATTGACCAATGGCAGAACGGCAAATTGGGCACCGGAAGTCGAGTTTAGTCCTCTCCGCTCGCTTTCCCGTCGTCAAATGACGTTTACGTTCTGTTGCTAAATCAGCCTGCTATTAGGGAGTTTAAGATACGAAGACTACGGACTACGAACTACGGCTGGACGAGCGTTGTCCTTTGTTCGTAGCACTGGGTTGAGTCGTGCAAATATAGAACGTTAAGATTGCACTACAGACAGTAGACTACGAGAGAAGAGGCGGAGAGGGAAACAACACGCAAAGATTTTCTTGTTTTCATCAGTTTACAAAAATGCAAGTCAGTTTTGCATGTGATCTTATCTTTGGAACAATGAACAAATTCTTTCATACTTGAAGGAAGCAATTGCGTCGGGTGAAATTGGTAAACAAAATTTTGGTTACACAGTTTTTATTTTTTTCGCCCATGAATTCTTATGTCAAATGTTAAGGAAACAGACAGAAATAGTAATAGCTCATTTATTAGATTTAGAAGATGGACTTCTCCCACTACTGATCTGATTTAGTTTGAAGTATCGAAATGCCGAGTTTCGATTGTCTCGAAGATGTTTACATCATTTTTATTCAGCAAATGCGATACAAAAACTCGCATAATCAACATTTGACGAACTGAACGAGAAGGAATAATCGCGATAAAGTTTGAAGCAGCACGACTTCACTTTTTAAGTGGCGTTTTCGTAGCCGTTGGCGTCTTTGTTGCTTAAACTGCCAATTTTTCCACACGTTAATGAGTTTCCATCGCAAAAAGGGATTTATTTTATCCCTACTATACTACTAGTACGTTTTCTATTGTACAAAGCTACTTCATTACAAAAGACCCTGATCATCAGCACTCTGCTGCGTCTGCACAAGCTACATGGTTCCCTTCGCTTTTATGACTGCCAAAGAAATGCCTTGTCACTTTCTCAGCGACTGGGAATAAAACCCACACCAATCGTGATTTGCTTCTACTCGTTTCATCGCGATTGACCAAAGCGGCCAAAAGCATTTTCCGCCGTTCATGTAAGACGCTGCGTGTGTTATAGTAGAGTGATTATAGCGGAGCACCAAGGGTAAGAAATTTAGTTAACTATGCATCCAACAAAGTTTGGTTCTGAGAAAATCGTCCGTACGTACAACCACGCCTTCATGTAAGCCGCGGTGAAATTTGGCATTTCAAGCACCCTCGCGTTTCGACGGTAAATTGCATAGCCACCCGGACTTTTAGATATAAACAACAACAACAAAGCCGATTCTTTCTTTGGACTGAATTTTAACGTTTACATTGACGTGGAAAACAGAGAAAGAGCTAGAGAGAGAGATAAAAAACAAAAGAGATCAATTTTGTTGGAGGAAAGACATGAAAATTTTATAGCGGCGGTGAGAAAATGAGAAATGCTAGCGGCCACCAAGATGAAAATGTGCAGTAACGGAAAAAAGGTAAACAGGAACACACATACTAGATTTCCTCCATAAAACGCGTAATTAGTAAGTTTCTGGAAGTTTCTCGTTTAATATAGTCGTGCAAAACAACTTCAAGGAAATGTACATAAAAAGTGTGTTGCACGTGCAAAGTTGTTTTTTTTTTTCCTAATTAGACCTACTGATTTTGAGGATGCCTATACACCGAGCCAGGACTTCGAGCCAGGAGTCGACGCAGGACTCGGCAATTTTTCGCTTTTCCACCATTTTCACCTCCTACAAGTCACATAACCATTAAGAGGACGGTTAGGGCTAGAGGTTAGGGTTAGGTTATAATTAGGGTGAGGGTTAGGGTAAGGTTAGAGGGTTAGGGTTAGGTTAGGGTTAGGAGGTTACAAGTTAGGTTAGGAGTCATTTTTGCTCCTTTTATTTTACTTTTGTTTATTTGTTTATTAATTATTTTTACTTAGTTTTTTGCAGAAAGATTAGAAAGGTCGTAACTGGAGTCCCTGCTCGAGTCCAGGCTCGACGTCCTGTTTCGAGTCCTGGCACTAGTCCTGTCTTTGATGTTACTTTATCTCCTGAATTGTTTTGGCTTCTTTTGTTGCCTTTGCCGCTTAGTATTATACGACTTTATATTTTGTTTGAGTAAACTATAGATATAAGCGAGAGCTTCGCTTTTAGCCCTGGTTAAATCTGTACATTAGCTCTGGTTCTGACTTAAAGAATACTCGACCTAAATTCGAACCATAAAATAAAATATCCGGATTGTAGGTTTACAAAGGATACTTGGATGACCCCAGAAATACAGACAATGCCTGGATGGAAACAGTGACTATGAATTTCCATGATGAAACCAGAGAGACACTCGGAGATTTCGAGTTTGAGGTATGATAAACGTAACAAGTAGATGTGACTTAAACCGTCATAACTGATTTGAATTTTGAAAACGAGAAGTACTAAAGTCCCGTCCTGTGGAACAAATTTTGTGATAAATAAGTACCGTAACCGCTAGGTGCGGTGCATGTTTGAAAACAATGCATAACAAAGAAGTAGACAGTTCGTCCCATAAACTTAGGCCTGGTTCAGACGCAGTACTTCTCATGCGCAGAACCTAATTGAATAAGTTCGACTTTGGAAGCGACGCTGGCGCGACATCTGATTCAGACGGCGCACCGTGTGTCGAGCCTGTCACGATCGACAAAATTTCGACAGACTCTGTCGAACTTAACGCTTTTGCCGCACCAAACTAAAACTGCCGTGCCAAATTGATTCAGGCGCCGCTCTTTTGCCGTATTTAATTGATCAGTTAGGTTCGACACATGAGTAGAGCGGCGTCTGAACCAGGTCTTGTGACAACTTTGTAAAGAAAGACGCTGCTGCTTTATTTTACTTTTCAAAAACTGCATTTTCTTCCCATTAGGAAAAAACGGGTGTCGACTACAGCGTCAACTGGCAAGATGTCAGCAGTCAAATCAACTTGCAAGCCAATCATTCGTTTATCTTGCACAAGGTGGCTATGATAAATGACGCATACTTTTGAATGGCGTCCCGGCCTTACAGTCACGTTTCATATGCTTCTTACCCTATCTAAAGTTACTTTTCAGTGACAGGGATAAGTATTGTGTGTTTTTAAATTTTATTCAGTCAAGTTTTCATCTTCATTAGAGCACATACAAATAGAAGAACAGTTTCAGTAAAAGTGTGTTGAGATCAATGAGTGAGCTCCATCGCTATTCGGGAAATCTTTTCCGTGAAAACGGGAAAACTGAGGAGCAATGGAATTTTGCGTTTTACCGTTTCAGCTATATTCGTTTTGGCATTATTTTGCAGTTTTGCTCTTGAAAATTAGGTTTCTTGATTCAAGAATATGTAATAGTTGTTAGTTTTTCCAGTTTTGTGAGTGTTTGGTTTTCAGTTTTTATCGAAATGAAAAGTGTTTTTTTGCGGCGTGTTTTCATAACTGTTTCTGAGCCGTTCTCTGAGATGGCTCTCTTGTGAAACGTTATCTCAAACAGTTGCAAGGCCTCCCATTATTTCTTTCAAACTTTGGGAGTGAGATTTGCAATACTTTTTATTGGTCCTCCTCAAAATTAACAGTGGTTTTGCAGTTTTCAACTAGGCCTTTAACCCTGATTGAGCTGTCGCAAGGCGGACACTTCAGCGAGTTTTATACCCACTGTTTTGGTTGAAACTTACTTCAGAGTTACATTAATTTTGTTTATTACCATTTGTTATTCCAATGGTGCTCGTTATAAGCACCTATCCTCTAATTAACCAAGCTTCAGTTTGGTTAGTCTGTGTTTTAAGAGTGTCGTGTTGTCTTCAAGACTGCCAAGTTTGGTAAATGGAAGTTGAATTAAAATTGATAATCTGAGTGCCTATTTGTTTGTGACTTATTTTTGTAGGAAGTTCCTTTATTATAACACAGTTAAACATAAGAGTGGACAGAAACACGAGATTCCTTCAACTAGCCTGGGAGAGGGGATTTCGCGAAGGGAATAATCTATCCAGTACAATGGGGCTGGGAGAAGTATTCTCTCAGCCTTTCACCCATACTCATGAGTAGTCATGTTTCATTAGATTTAACCCCCATTGGTGTCTAGTTAGTGTCTAGCAAGGTCTAGTCAATGACGTCACCCATTGTTATAACCTAGGGAAAAAATGCGTTCCTCCATATCTAATTAAGTGGCTAGTCAGTGTCTAGCTAGCTAGGTAAAAATGCGTTCCTCCATCTAATAACTGTCTTCCTGCATACTAATTCGGTATAGGTTTACTAATGAGCGAATACTACAATAGGCTTGCCTCGCCTTGCCCGTTAAGTAACTTGAGCCTGGTTTGAACGTCTATTAAAAGGGAAATAGGAATAAGAAAGCGATCACCTAGCAACGCGAGAAACGGCTTATGTCTTCTTATTTGGCGATAAAACTCGGATATATAAAAACAAAAGACACACACACATACACTAATTGGAGCTGAAAACTCTATATTTCAATTTTGTCTGACTATTACAAATTCCGTTTCCTCCTATTTATCTCGAGGAAATGAAAAACTACTAAAGTCTCAGCGTTTCACGCACCGTTAGTCGGTTGATTATGCCAGTTAGCAAGCCCACCGTTGCATACAATATAGTTCAGCTCTACAGCTAGACCCAAGAGAGAACCTTGACGTATTATTATTATTATTATTGTTACATAAAATAACTTAACAAGGATAAATTGAAACACGCGACTTATAATTGCTAGCAATAAAATCAGACATGAGATACCGTTTTAAAAACTTTATTAAAAAACAACGACGAAAAGAATCAAATACACAGCGATTCGAAAGGAAAAGGAATGAAAATTAATCCTTTGACTGATAACAAAGCCGTTTTTTCCATCCTATTTCGAGGAATAATAAATAATACTTCCGTGTTTACACAATTTTCCTATGGCTTCTAAGCCAAGAGTTCGACTTTCCTTGTTTCTTGCGCTTTGACTTGTTTTTTGTGGTCGATCTTTTAGGTTTTGCTTTAAAAGAGGCTTCATTTCTCCGTGATCTTAACAGTTCGTACCCCTTTTCTTGTGTCTGTACTGGATTGCTATAGTGATTTTTTCCGCAATTAACCGCTTCATGGTCGTAAACAACGACTTTAGCTTTAGGTTGCAGTTTCGCCTCTTGTACATACTGTCTTCGCTGTTCGTGGTCTAACTCATGAACATCGGCGAGATGGTTAGCTAATCTGACAAGATACTCCCCCAGGATGAAATCGGACAGTTTCCGCAAACTCTCTTGTAAACCATGTTGACACCCTAAAAGACATGCTTATCCACTTCGTTTTTTTACGAGTGCTTAGCAGCAGTAAAAAAAAAATAAAAAAAAAGTGACATCTTCTTCTGTATTGATTTCTCTAGAAAGGCTCAACAACGCCCATTTCGACCCGGAAATAGGGCTAAGGCTTGGGACTGGCCCCGTCCGCGAAATTGGTTTAGATACCACTGCACGTGCACATCGCTTTTAGATGGCTTCCATTTTCAATTGGTCGAGTGTGTTTTCAAGTGTGTTGTAGATCATACTTGGCATTAAACATCAGCTTCCTTGAATTACGGACGTTTCCATGGTCACCAAGCAAAGTTGAAGTATTAAAGTACATTTTACCCCATTCACAATCAAAGTAGGTTCCAAGCACACTAGTGCAAACTCTAGCGTGAAGCCAACAATTTAGAGTCCTTAAAAATCTTAGGCCGCATTGTAAATTCCTTTAAAAACTAGCATGTGTTTTTTTAGTGTGTCCTTTTTGCTATTTTTTTATCCTTATCTATTTTATGGAAGTCTCACGGATTGGTCGGTTGGTTTATTTCAGTTTCGTTTTATTTTCAGTAGGCATCTATTTTCTTCATTTATCAATGTTTATAAAGGTAATTTTTTGTTTTTAAAGCCTTTTAGACTATGCTCACACTATACCAGATAGCTACTGGACAGCTTTTCGTGGCGCAATGAAAAGCTATCCGATATGTGACTCTACGCTTTAGAGATTGGTGCGACGCAGCTTCATTTCGTCACAGAAATCGCGCCGCACAATCATTTTGGTGTGTGAACAGAAACCCTATCTGGTATGATTTTCGTGCCGGCGCAAAAGCTATCCGATATAGTGTCAACATAGCCTCGTGGTGTGTCTTAAAACCATTTTTTTAGTTCATTCTAGTTTAAGTGACTTTTAAATGGTAGAAGAGTGCCGTAAGATCAAGGTGTTTCGGCAGTCGCATTTCGAGTAAAAGAGAGCAGCTCGTAGTCTAGGGGTCAATTTTATAAAATTTTTACAAGTGTAATTTACAGGTGTAGCTATTGTTTTAGGATCCGAAAACAATAGCTATACTTGTAAATTACACCTGCAAAAGTTTTATTAAATTGACCCCAGGTTAAAGGTTCCCATTTGTACTGCTAGACCACGCTCTAGGGGTAAGGAATTTACCGCGAGGTTTTTACCCCATAAAACATCACAAACCCACGCGCACGTTTGAGAAGGTGTACTACATATATAGAACCCTTTTGCTTACTAATTATCGAATTCTTTTTCAACAAAACGTTAGTTTGAAGAAGAGTTCTCAGCTAGAATTGAACTCAACGAATGAAAGAAAACAAACATGGCAGCGGCGAGCTACCACCCGCAAATCTTAAGTCCAAAATATGGACAGACGACTAACGTGAAACCGCGAACTGCAAACCACGGTTTGCCTTTTGCAGTAGGCCAAACCTCGATCTTAAGGTCCCTAGTATTTCTCAGTACCGTTCCCTAAGGCAATCAAAGTGTGCCTGCTTCCCTTCCAGTTGATGTAGAAAAAAGAGGCACTCAGTTTTCCGTATCCTTGCGGCATTCAATGAGAGAATCGCTAAGTTGGTGTAGGAGTTCTTTTCAGTTTGTGTGCACGAAAGCGTCGTACAATTATTCCCGGGACCGAGGCGATTATCACATCACTCTCCCACCTAATTTTCCTCTCTTAGGTAAGGGAGACTTGGAGAAACTTCGCTTGACCTGATCAAATTTACACCCTGAAAACAAGAGTTAGACAAAAAAAAAACTCTCTTTGTTAATGACCCGGCACAGATTTGGTTCCAACTCTAGGAAGAATGTTTGAACTGTGTCATGCGGGATACCTTAGACAGGTAATCTGTTCGTGTTTCAGACATCATGAAACGACTTTCATCGGACTACAGTTTTGTCCCGCTTCAGTTAATTTGGTCCAAGGTCGGGGTTTCCGTTATAACAAGTGTTAAATATATCACTTTTCCTTTTTGAGTGTCAATTGTGTGTTTGCTTTAATTTTTCTTCTTATGGTTAGTTAGTGTTATACGAGTGTTGTGTGTTACCAATGTATCGAAAACAGGAGTTGAATTAAACATTCTTTTTTCAATGCCTCTTTTCAACACTGATTCATATTCATGTCTACTAAATTTTTTTAAGAAGCATTAAACCGTATAATATTTCTTAATATTCGATGTTAGCTTGCGTGCAGACATCTCCTGGTTCCTTGTTTCAAACAGTCTGTTTATTATATCACGCGGTTCCTGCTAACTGCGCCAGTCATGTTCGGCGTCAAGGGCAGAACATACCTTTCACGAAAACAGCACTTGCAATGGCAGGAGCCCATAAACCCGGGGCTTTCACTTGCCATTTATTCGTGTGAAGGCTCTTCAGCTTTCGACGCGAGGTTAGGGTACCACAGGATCACCAAAAATAAGGTCGCGAAAATTGGACTTTTAGTCGTTTTGGATAACCTTTAAAATTGCCATAGTTGGTAGAGGAGACTGGTTATGAAAGGTGGCAAACATCAAAAACAAAAGCAACGGTACTGTAGTTTATGCTGGAACTCGGCTCCCTGACAGTGCTCAATCCTTCATTTTCTGTTAAAAATTGTGACGGAATAAATTAATGCGTCGTTTTCATTGGTCAATAACATCAAAATGATATGAATGCTATTTGTGCATTGTGCACAGGTCGACAAAAAGATATAACAAAGGAGTCTGACGGGCTTTATAACCATTCAACTCGATTAACTATAGTTTTGTTGTTTTAGTTAAGTTTAGTTTTTATTCATATGTCATACAACAGAGGCGCACCTAACATACAGAGCGGAGCTCCCATTTTTACGGGAAAAAGTATTCTAAAAAGTCCAAAAACGGACTGGTTTATGAATACCCCGAGACAATTCCTGTGGGCTCCAGACAATTAGTGTTCCTGCTACTTAATGGGTCAGCGCTATCTCATATATTTATAGAGGTTATTTTTATTGTTGTTGTTTTGGTTATGGCCTTAATATCCTGACCTTCTCCTTCCGTTTAAGGCACCAGGTATTGTACTTAAAATGCGATCTGGGGTGTGACTACTTAGGAGGCCAAGATCCATTCAGAATTTCCTTTGTTTCCTATCCTTAATTTATCATAGGATACAATGGAGATTCTGCTAATCGACAAAGCAGATTCTGTTTTAACCTGAGAACAGATTTTACCGCCAAAATCTGCACTCAGGCTGCCAATTGTTGGTATTCCTGACGAGATCATGTATTCTTTCTCCTCCCTGAGCTCAATCTTTTTCAGCTGGACATAGCGTTCTCAACGCTAGCTTTCTTTCTTTTCCTCATCTGGTTTCCAGTTTGGATCGAAGTGTTTCTCTAACGGCTCCCATACTTTGTAGTAATCATGGTCCACTTTCTGACACGTCTCATTTCCCCATTTTGGGATGGCCATACTGAGACTGCTTTCAAACATGAATGCCTACAACGAGAAAAAAAAAATGAATAGAGAAATTCTAAAACCAACTTAGGCTATGTTTTCACGATACCAGATAGCTTTTGCGCGGGCACGAAAACCATACCATAAAGGACTTCTGTTCAAACATACGAAATGGTGATTTAGGCGCCATTTCTGTAACGGAGCGAAGCTGCGCCGCGCCCATCTCTTATGTGGTGAGTCACATATTGGATAGGTGTTCATAGTATTATAGCTATCCGGTATAATGTAAAAATAGCCTAAGAAATGATAATAGATGTTAAAACGATCAAGGTAAGCCAAAGAGCCACATAACCAAATCTTTATGTCCCCTTTCACGAATAAGGTACAATAATAGCAACTCCAAGTACACTTAATGTCAACAGCCAAGCTTAGTTTGCTAGAGGGCATATAAAGTAGCAACAACCCTTTGGGATTAAAATTCTGGCCATACTAGATGGCCGCTTTTATTAACCAGTGCTTTATCTACGTGCTTTATCTGAAATAACCTGTCCCTCCGCTAAAACGCCTGGGTGGGAGGATAATTCTTTATCAGTCTGTCTCCAAGGTAACCGCAATAAAAGCCAAAAGTACAACCATTGTTACTTTTTTCTCCTTTTCTTCTATTCTCTCCTTCTCCTTTCCCTTTCTGTTTTCTGCTTTGGCGTGATTTTCAGGTTTGTCGGAGCCATAGCTGTGCAAAACAAGTAGGTAACTTTTTGCAGATCCTGTCAGACATATGTTGAGGTTCAGTTTTATTCTTGGTTTAAGTTTAATTTTCCTTTCTTTTTGTGTGTAAGGTAATGTATGAAAATGCTTTTGAGACATAGGAAAAGGAAATTTAAACCCCCAAGGATAAAAATGAACCACAACATTTAAAATCTACTCTCTCTATCGAAACAGAACACTTCGGGCCAACAGCTGTCCCAGGCACTGGCCAATACATTTACTGTCTCTGAAATCCCTAACTCTGCACAAATGGAGAACTTGACATAACGGCTGGTCAACGTAAAATACCCGGTCAATACATGTAGTATGCTTTGACGGGTCAATTCCCTAGATGACCGGACATTACGCTTCTAATGGAAAATTTAATTTTTTGAGATATGACGTAATAAATATTTGTCTGGCCAAAAACGGGTTGTGTCTGAGCCAAAATAGGCCAGCCGCAAAACTATTCCAAGCGCTGCAAATGGCAACGACTAACATTTCATTGCCTTAGAAAAACCTTAATGGGCACCTGATACACATGAGCCATATCATCATGGCAAACATTGATGTACAATCTATTTAACAAATCATGGTGCACTATGTAATGATAAAAATGCCAGGCTAGACATTATCTTCTGCACTGTTTATGTTATGCATACCATAGTTCCATCTGCCACTCGCTGGGGTCTCAGCTCTGCACTTGCGCCTTCTCAAAACAATCCTTGTCTGGTCCATGAGGAGTCATCATGCTATGCAGACTACCACCCCCTGGGAAAATCCTTCTTCCTATCATGACAAGAAAAAACCGTGAATGTTATAGTTTCAGACAAATACCAGGGATTTAAAGCACCCACAACGCCAATGGCAATGGGGACATCAAAGAGGCAATAGGTTTGATAACTAAAAGAACAACTTTGCACGTGCATCGTGCTTTTCTTGTACATTTCTCGCTGCTCGATTACAACGTGAAACGTTCCAATGGGACAAATTGTAGAAGACGTAAACAACGATTTTTTTTTGTTCTTTTTTTACACTTTGATGTACTCCCCAAAAATTCAACTTCGGAATTTCTCACCTTGATTTGACCAATTACATGTAAGCCAGTTGAAACCACCCTCAAAAATTAAAAAAGCGAAAAATTTAGCTGAGATCAGACGCAGGGTGTGGCTCGCTCTTTAACAAAAAGCAAAAACGAAAACAAAAACCTTCAAACTGCAGATAAATAATTGGAATATAATAAATACTAGGTAATAACTTTGGCTTCGTATTTTCCATAAATCAATCCCATGAATTCACTCATACAGTTTCCTGTTCATAAATTAAAAGTAAAGGTTGAGAGACATGGCGCTTTAAGTTCAATCTCTTAAACATTTTCTTTTACGCTGGGAAGGACACATTTCTTGCTAAGGGTACCTCAACATTTTCCTATTTATGTTATTATAATTTAAAATGTTTTTCCTTTAAGGTGAGGAGGTAGACACTACTCTTGCTCGGACCATACATTGTATTTTGCTTTCATAGGCTTCCTTCACATTGCATCTCCTCGTATTATTCTTAGTGATCCATTTTCTACTGCAGTTGTCTACTGCCCCTGCACTTGTATTCCAGGGAATGGGATGTGCCAAACAACCTACAGCCTTGATGAGACTTGAATTTATTTGCTATTCTTGTTTTCCCAAGTAAAGTAGTTTCTTTCACAAACTTCGATGAGAGGAATTACTGCTCTACGATCTACAGTTGTATATCCGATCCCTGAAATGCCTGTGATATCAAAACAGTCAAAGATATTACCCATTTGACACATGCATACTCGTTGATTTGCGAAGGAAGCACATGAAGCAAGCTACATCCATTCTACACACGGCTGTGCTTTAAGAAAAATTGAAAGGAAGCCCAGTGCTCTGAACCTGTGAAATCCAGGGTACCCAGCAAAGGATTTCTTACGAAAAACTAAGACTTCCTAGTCATCTAAGCGCAAAAGTAAGGTGGAGAGGCCACAGGATGTTGTTAAAAGACGCCACTGCTACACTACATAGCCAAATTTTCCGACCCATTTGTAATTTTGGTCAGGTCCAGCAGAAGTCTGAGTCACTCTCACTGTAATTATAACCTTCAAAACGTCACTTACTGTGATAGTAAGGTGGCCTGAAAGTGTTCTCAGCAACACTCCATCTTGGTGGAAATATAATAAAATCTGCTATAGCAACTCCAGGCTTTAAACTGGGACAAGTCAATACAGTGAATATTGATGGGTCCTACCAAGAATAAAGAGATTTTGTCACAGCAATGATCTGGTGTAGACAGGTCACAGGTTTGTGTCCCATCATTGGGAACTCAGCTACTTTCTTCAATCCAGCTTGCGAATAAAGCATGAGAAATAAATAATTATAGCGGAGCTCCGCGCGCAAAGCGCGCCAGCGGAGCACCATGGGTAAATAAATGTACCCATCCCAGAAAATTTGGTAATCACGTGACCGACCGACCGACCGATCGACCAACCGACCGTCCGCACCACAGGCATATCAATGTTTACTCTCACACTTTCTAGCTACTTTGGGAGCCCAGGAGAAAGCTGATTGCACATCAATGTTGTGGTCAATTGACAGCTGTCAAAACAGGGTATCTGCTGACCAGTATCACCTGACCGTATCGCGGGCTCAGGTATCGAACCATCAAGGACGAGTGTATTTTTTGAAGTTATCCGCTGACAATTCACTCGTTTTCAAATGATCGCAGGCTCAGTTTTTTTTAAATTCGTATCAGATATGTTGTGTTTATGTCACTATCGCTCAGCACTATTACGGTTTTGATTTCAAACTGACCTCAGACGCAAAAAATTCAGCCAGCTTTTTTTGAAATACAGGCGGGGAAGACCTTTTCTTACCATGGTCATGTGTTGGTCACGCTCCACGTCCAATTTTTATGCTCTAATTGGTTAAAATTTGACAGGTGAGTTCATGCGTAAAATTTATGCAGCATATCTTGAAAGTTGTTTACTTTGACAGCTGAAGCTGACAGAGTTTTGAGTCAACTTCTGATGTTTTTAACTGTCTTTTTCCACTGAATGAACAAAATGAAATACAGCTGCCATCAAGAGTCTTCTCTTGTTTATTGGGTTTTTGTTTGAGAAATGCGTCGCTTGTCAAAGCCCATTATCCGATTTCGGATGGCATCGTTTTTGTTTTTCACCTTGCTGGATGGGATGCGTGCGAGAATTATAAAGGCTCAAGCGATCCTTGCCCTACTTGATGGCTTTCAGGAGCTGCATCTCGAAATATGGTAAGCCTGAGTAATTATTGTATTTATATCTAATTTTATGAAGTCGAGCGCAGTTTATGAAGCTAGTTCATGCACGTTTATATTAAGATTTGACTACGACACTGATCTGACCTAGCATGAGGTTTGATATAAGATTACAGAACTTTAAAAAGCCTTTGGTCGATATAAATTCACCGTAAATAGAAAGAAAAAACTTTCCGAAGAATATTTAGTGTTAATTGGCTGTAGAGAGAAAGCTTAGAGCGATTTTCTTGTCGCGATTTCATCTTTGAAAACAGCAAACACCGGGAAACCGGCGGCTTAAAACATTATAAACTTAATCTTTAAGCTTATAAAAGACTTGAGGATTCTTAGAGAAACCTAAATACTCATTTGTTTTCGTGAATGAAAATTGTTGTCTGTGTAAATGTTCTACCGAATTATATTTCTTTATTGATTGTTGGTAGTCTCAAAAATGCAATTTTCATCGCTTTTGCCTTTGTTTTCAGCCGTTCATTAACATCGCTTGCAGGAGTCTCAAAATGCCGAGCGTATCAAACAGTTTTGAAGATTACACATCGTTATAAAACCATTATTAAAAAATAGAACTCAGTAAATTCTCTATCACGTTGAAGCGTAACTCTTTTAAAATTTCTTCGCAAATTTGGCGCTCGTCAAAAGTTAGAACCGGCTGGCCGTATAGGTGACTTTGGAAATTTTTTGTACTGTTTCACTAAAAGTCCACGCTTGCTTCGATGGTCTTGAATATTGAATGAATGCAATTTGTCTTGAAAAATTGTGAAATACTGCATTTTGTAGAGGTCTGTATGATAAAAACAGCGCCTCATAGTACTCTTTCTCCTCAGATGTGGTGTATTAAAAAAAAACGAAAGGTTGGTTTGCACGCACCCAGATTTATTGGCAAGAATATGTAAAGTAATATTGTCGAATGCAAAAAATTCGGCCTGATTTGTTTCCACGCCTTATCTACTGTGATCAAGAGCCATTATTTCTTTTAAATGTGAACGAAGACTATTTTTTGGGTGTACATATAAGGCTATATCAACTCGATGCAAGATTTGTTTTACTCCAAAATCACTTAGCTTTTCCCACAAACGTCACATGAGTGTGCCCTTAAGTCAACTGATTTGTGGAATACAAGTTTATTCTTTGATTTAAATTGTAAATTTATCAATGGGAGCTTCGCTTTTAGCCGTGGCTAAATCTATATATTAATAACTAGGTGTGTGGTGTATGGGGTATACATGCTATACATGTATGACGGCAACTATAGGGTTTGTAGTCATGTCAGGACATCACACATCCAGATGACTACCCAAATATAACATCTTTTTTCATCATTTTCTTCGCCCAGTTAAACAGGATATATTTAGTTTGACTGCTAGTCCTAGCAGTCTGCACAAGACACAACAGCTGTAAACCTACTTAAAGGCCTAGCTTACCATGAGTTATTCACCAAGTCTATAAAAATCTTTCTCAAACCCAGATGTGTTAGTCTGGATCAAGATGCAAAATCTATTTCTATGAACAACCAAGGCACAAGAAGACTCTCGGATTCTTTACTACAAAATGAATTCGCCAGTATAAAGTAAGGGCTGAAATTAAAAGTAATACTAGTAATAACCAGGGTTAGGGGAAGCGGTTGACAACGATGAAAGGTCCAAACGCTTTTGCTCCAATGCTGTGCTTTGCATAAGTTTCACTTAACAGATGGTCAAAATATGCGTGATTAGATAACAAGGGATGGAAGGCTGAAATGCGCGTGATCAAATTGTGTTTTGTGCATCCATTCATTCTTAGTGGAAGTCGAAACAAATGCTGATTACATACATGCGACTCATGTATAATAACAGCCTGGAGATTAGGATTGCGGGCTCCTCTTGTCGCACGCAATTACTTTGGTGTCCTTTTGTTACAAATCAAAGTACATGGAGGCGTATTACTGGTAAAATTGTGTACTACTGGTCGACAAGTATTAGACCCTGTATGGAGGAGCATTCTATGACACTGGTTTAGATTCATGGTCAGATATCTTCCACACTAAAGAGCTAGAACACCCAGCATCTACATGTATACTCACACAGTGGTCAAATGAAACTGTGTTGATGACATTAAAGCAGCTTAGGTTGTACTTGTAAGGAGAATAGTTACCATGCCAAGCCACAACATGAAAAGGGGAATGACCCTAAAGAAACAAACAAGTCATGCAAAAGAAGCATGAATGAATAGAGGGCAAAATAATAATAATGCAGTGAAACTTCTATTAAGCGGACACGTTTGGGACGTTCCCAAGTGTGTGCTTAATAGAGGGTGTCCACTTAATAGAGGTTGTAAAACTTGCGCAATGTTTGTTATGCTTAATAGAGGGAGTCCGCTTAATTGGGGGTGCGCTTACCGTATTTATTCGAATAAGCGCCCAACCTCGAATTAGCGCCCACCTCGAATAAGCGCCCATCCTAAAGGCAGAAAAAGTTAATAAGCACCCAGCCTCGAATAAGAAGCCCACCCCCTCCTCCTCCCAATCAAACTCAAATAAGCGCTCACCTCCACCCCACCCACTTGAGTGAATAAATTCTAATAAGCAACTTCCCGAGGACGGAGTTTTCTTCAGAGTATTTCACAGAAACCTTGTTTTGTTGCAAAATAAACATACTTTACTAGCTGAAAATGGTGAAAATTTAATTAGCGCGCAGCCTCGAATAAGCGCCCACCTCAAATAAGCGCCCATTTTCAAAGTCCAAAAATTTAATAAGTGCTCAGGGCGGTTAATCGAATAAATACGGTAATAGAGGTTTCACGGTATTTGATAAAGTAACAATAACAGAAGAAATGAAAAATGGGTGGTGGAGTGAGGAGCAGGACAATAATGCGATGTGTGAGTCATTTCAAACAGAAGCTATGCATTTATAGATGTGTTGTTTGGGTTTTGAATTAACACAATTTTATCAGGAAGTGTGGTGGTCAAGAGGTTAACACCTTGAGCTCTGAATATGTAGGTCTTGGTTCAAGCCTTGCTGTCACATCATTTCCTTAGACAAGAAGTAACTTTGCTCCACTTTTTCTTTTATCTAGGAGATTAAATGAGTGCTAACAACTTTGTGCTGGGAGTTATCCATGCAGTGAATACTAGCATCATCTCCAGGGAGGAGTTGAAATTTTACTCTTTAGTCCTTCATGCCACAGAAACCAGGGTAAGCTATGGCCATGTGGGCCTCATGGCTCATGTATACCTTCAAAATTTTCAGAAGGCCTTTACTTTCGATGAGCAATTCCCAAAACTGTACTCAATACCTCCAGATAGAAACCATTATATATGTTACAGGTCAAATTTGATTTCAGGTTAAGTTTTTTTAACCTAGGTTGATTACCAATTTCCTTTGACATCCCTTAGGGCCTCTAATAAACCAATTTCGATATATTAAAATTCATACATGTACAAAGCTTGGCCATGAGGCTTGGGGGAATGAAACAAAATATATTATTCATTGCTGAAGCTCAAGATGATTTCTATTGTTTTATTCCCCCAAGCCTCAGAGCTAAGTGTAAATTTTAATATATTGAAATTGGTCTAATGGAATGTTCTTACCAGCATTACAAAGAAGTTCAGCCACTAGTACTTCTAAATCAAACCTGAATGGCTTTGAAGAGTTTTCCCTGGAATTTGCTGATAACTGGGAAACCAGAGGGCACGTCTCTGTCTTCAAACCATGCTACAGGTGTTAGGAAGTCCCGGGGGTTTGCGAGTCCATTAGCACCTGAATTTAAGTTGAAAATCTGGATCTAATTCATGTAGCAGACAAGCCCTTTTTGGTGTTTGCAAAAGTGAAATACTTCAACAAAATAATGCAATAGTATTGTCCTAAATTAAACAAATAAACTAAGCTCTGTTCAGAGTGTGAATGCCAATAACATGGATACAGGTAGATGTAAATACACAGCTGATACAGGTACATAGTGACAAAGCATATAGAGTATCCTCTAAGATGCTCATGGCTAACTCCATTATTTTTTATCCAGACGAAATTTTACATAGACAAAGCGTTTTGAACTGGTCATCAGTGGGGCCGAGGTGGGCTGCACTGGTTCATGCATGACTTTTCCTTTATAAAGTTTCTTTCCGCGAACTTAGGGAAAGTGATTTTCACTTAATTATACCTGTTGGTCCACGATGAGGCAAAACAAAGTGTACATCAAACACCTCCAGAATGTAACCTCTTGAAGGTTCACTTATCTCCACAGAAAACCTTATTTCTCATACATCGAACGTGCAGAGGGAAAATGTAATACAATAAAATAGCTTTTTCCGTCCCAAGCTTTTCCGGCCGCCATTTTTAAATTGCACGGCCTTAACTTGTGCGTGTTTATAGCAAGGACTCATGACAACGGAGGACTCCAGTAGGCTGAAAATTTTGCAGAAGGGTTGATTTTTACAGGGTATTTTGCAGGAGGGGATAAAGTCTTAAAAGTTCTTTGGGATTATAGAGTTTATAATTTTTATAAGGTCACCTCAAAATCAAGAATACAATGTAATGAAATTCTGTTATCGCGACCCCATTATGGTCTGTGCAGAATCGATGTGCCGGGTTGACTTGTTTGAATCCTTTCTCCAGTAGCAGTAAGCCAGTGTGCCTGCACGAACTAATAACACACTGTAATTCCTGTGCTTGAAATTGTCTTATTCGGGGTTAAAATGTCCGGTTCGGGGGCTATTGTCGGGCAATCTACGACATTAGTTCCCTAGGAGCTCTATGGTCCCCCCTGTTTCTCCTCCCGTGAAACTTTATTAGCGGAGCTCTCGCGCGCGAAGTGCGCGCAGCGGAGCCCCATGGGTAAGAAAATGTGGTAAACTACCCATCCGAGAAAATTTGGTAATCACGTGACCGTGCACCGACCACCCGCCCGCCCGCCCGACCGTCCGTCCGCACCACAGGCATACCAATGTAAAACAACTCAATCAACAGGTATGGCAACCCAAATGCAACTGAAGGTCATTTTGACGGGAAGTCGCATAGCTACTCGCGTCTTCTGAAGCAGAGACAACTAAGGAGTCAATGAACACGAAAACGGAAAGCGGAAATTGTCTCTGTATCCGTGTTTTTTTTAAAGTATTAAGCTTAGATTAATTGTCATGTCCACAAATTTGGAATGTAGAGCAAGAGAAAGACCGGGAAAAAGAGAAAGTAGGCGGCAGGCCAGCGAAGCTCAACGAGAAAAGGACGACAGAGATCTGGAGCGAAAGATAAAAAACAAAGGAGACATTTTTTTGTTGAAAGAACAACATGAACATTTTGTAGCGGCGGTAACAAAATGAGAAATGCAAGCCGCCACCAATGCAAGGTGAAAGTGAGCGGCAGTGAAACAAAGTGAACAAGAAAACGTGCGACATTTCCTCCATAAAACGTATAGCTAAGAAGTTTCTAGAAGTTTCACGTTGTGGTCGTGCAAAAAAAGGCAAAGAAATGTACAAAAAAAGTGTGCTGCACGTGCAAAGTTGCTTTTTTGCTAATTAGACCTATTGTTGTTTTTCACCGTTCTCCGGCGTTGCCTTCCACGCTTAGCATTTTTTTTTTTACACCATTTTATATTTCGTTTGAGCAAACTATAAATATTATCGAGAGCTTCGCTTTTAGCCCTGGCTAGATCTATATATTAGCTTAAGCAATGACGTTTTTCAGCGACACACATCAACCGGAAGTAGACGTTTTGCATTCTTGAGCTGCGGTTTGCCCAAATTTTAGGACAGATCGTCTCTATCAGAGTAAAGACGTAAAAAGACGTATAGGTAATAGCATGATTTGTAGTGATATTTCGAAATTGTTATACGTAATTTCACGAGCAGTTAGGCGGGTCAAATTTTAGACAATTTTGAAATGTCACGAGTGGTATTTATTGCCAAATATCACGTACAAATAATGCTATTATTCGTTTATACTACTACCCGCAAAAGCTTTGTAATTTTCACATGTAGGTATTTCAAATTAAGCTGAAATACCACTGCTCTAAGCCAATCAAATTGCAGTAATTTTTCATGTAGTAGTATAAACTTTGAAATACATATCTGATAGCGTCAAAGCATAATAAAAGAGAATAAAATCTCACTTCCGGTTGGTGTGCGTTGCTCATTCACTGCGTCACGCCTTTCCTTGTTCTGTTCCCTAATAACTTATCATATACTTCTAAATAACGTTCTCTTAAAACCGTAAAGGCTTAGTGCATATGGTTCGGTGGTTCGTTTTAGTTACACCTAATTGCAATAAGGTTGTCATAGAAAAAAGCAAAAAGCCAAATAGGAATTAATTAGCATTAAATTATCATTGCTTGCAACATTCACAACACACACGCTTATAGCTGACTATTAATCACGTAATATGAAAGCCAAATCATTTGCATCAGTTTCTTGGTGTCATTCTAATGCAATTCGAGGCTGATTCATCTAGCGGATTTCAAACGTGCTCTAATTACAAACGTACATCGGATAACTACTAAAGAAAAAATGGCTCCATTTTTTTCAATAAATAACCTGGGGTAAATTCCAGGAACGCGACGCGTCTTTTCGTTTAATGCTAAATAGAAAAGCCAGTCTGCGTATGGTTTGTAGTGCACAACACCATCAGATCACAATTTTCAAGCAACAAATCAGGGGTGTAGGCAGGACTTTCCATCGCGGAGAGGGTGAGAAGTTCCTCCGGCAGTTCCTCTCCCGCGCCACAAACCAAGCCTCGTTTGTCAGGACCCTTTTGTTACACACATCAGTGTTTCATGTGCGAAATCTTACAGCGCGGAATTGCAGAATTATTTCTTGTTATTGTGAATGACTTCTTAAATAATTGTTAAGTTATTAAAATACGCAAATGTAAATCACATGTCTAATTAATTCCTATTTGGCTTTCTGCTTTTTGCTTTTTGCTTTTTTCTATGACAACGTTATTGCAATTAGGTGTATGTTGGTAAACGTTTTTGATCCTGTCGTCGATGCTCGGTGATTTGACTGACAGTATAGCCTTACCAGGAACCGTACGTTCGACACCGAATCTAAATTTACATCACTTTAAGGTGATTTGAAGCTCAAAGGAAGTGAGATATATAATAGAACTCTTTGACCCCGAGGTCCATATCTTAGTACTTTCACTGCATATTTGGTTTTAGCCTTCACTTTACAAAGTCATGTTTACACACATCTTAGCGCAGTTACTTGAAAAAACTTGAAGAGTCTTTGGCATCTGTTGGTTCAGCTGCCTGAATGCGAATAAAACTAACACCTCCAGGTCAGTCTTTCTGAGTAACCTCGGCTTCAACTCGGGAGTTGTTTTATCCACTGGATATCGTAGGAGCGGATCCAGGTGGTGGGGGGAGGTGGATTGGGTGGCTACTAAGCCCCCTTTAGAACAGTCACTAAAAAATATAATGCGTGGGAAACCTTGTGAAGCCAACCAGCCTCAAAAATGCAGCTGCCATCGATCGAAGTGTGGTTTGTCAGACATTTGTGGCGCTGCACCCTAGACGAATGACGGCGTTTTCACTTTTGGCCGACTAGGGTCAGTAAGATATTTCTGTTAGCTCCTATTTCTTCTATTTTGTGGCGTTTCAAGAGTTTGCAGTGTTACTGTTCCTTAATCGCCATGTTCTGGGACAAGCCTAAGACAACTTGAAATAAATTAACGTATAGCTTGGTGACCTATTGGTATCAGCCACCCTCCAATAAAAAAATCGTTGATCCGCCCCGGAATATCGCCCCTCACTTCAGTGAAAGTGCAAGTTCTCCAGTTCGCCATTGTCTTAGAAGAAACCTGGCTAGTCATTTTAGCTTTCAGTATAGAGTAAACTGCCTCAGCTCCCACAGTTATTGGCCGGCCCATCTACCTGTGAAGCAGAAATTCATCTGACCCCCCTCTAGCTTCTATGGAATGATTTAGATTTATCATGATTATAAGACAGGAACAACAATGTTTATTCGCATTACCATTTACAGGGATGGTGTTGTATAAAAAGGAAAAACAAGGTATATATAAAAATAAAAAGAATAATAACCAAATAAAAAGAAAAGTAACTCTCCCTAAAAAGATATTTATAGTTGATTAAACTAGGGTGGGATGCATTAGGATTAATACTATCATTGTGCTAACAATAAGTAATCACAATGATAGACGGAAGAGGAACAATGATTTACGAAGTCTTAATATTCCTTATTTCTGTTCTTGTCTCGTTTTCATGTGAATAGGTGGTTTTCATGCAATCTCGGGAGACACAAATAACAATGGTGAAATGAACACATGCTGGTGGACAAACAAAACGAGCTAATGAGCAATCTTTTGTTTACCGTCCACCAGCATGGCGGCGACGACGTAACGTGAAAACCACCTATGTTGCCTGTAGCAACGGCAATCCAACTTGGCGCGTAAAAAATTAACGCACGCGTACTATGCGTTCGCGTCTTATGTAAGACGCGAAGGTCATTTATACGAAGTTTTTCTCGTCTTAGCTAAGACGCGCTTTATCTAAGAACAGGTGCTAAGGGCTGTTCTAAAATAAGACGCGTCTTAGCTAAGTCGCGTCTTATTTTAGACGAAATGTGCCGTTTATACGGAAAGTTCGCGTCTTACTTAAGACGCGTCTTACGTAAGAAGCGTCTTATTTTTCTCGTATAAATGGCCCTAATAATGTCCAGTTTTCAAACGACTCCAGCGTCACATTAACGAGTGAATACTTACAGTGCTCTTAGTTTCCACCGAACAAACTTTGAAATATGTCTGTAAACCCTGAGGACTGGGATGTTGACTTTGCCTTTCCAAATTTTAACCTAGCTTTGTTTTAATGAGAAGGAAGCTGTTGTAGAAACTGAATCGTAACCTTACCGAGGAAGAGAATTCTAGTCAGTGTTTGAAAATTTTAACGCAGATCACAGTTGAACACGAGAATGAACTAGCGAATCCTTGGACAATCGCAACAAACTTACCTTGAAAAGCTTCTTTGCCTTTTGCAGTGTTTTTTCACAAGGACAAACGGAGGAAAGATGGAAACGACTTCTAGACAGACACAGTGTCCGGTTTCCAAAATACTCCGGCGTTACGTTAAAGAGCTAAAACTTACAGTGCTCTTAGTTTAGACCGAATAAACTTTTTCAACACGGCGAATTTGTTTTTACTTTCTCGGAAAGCCTTTGTTATGTGCTATTGTTTTCGTGCGCCAATAAAAACTTTCTTTTTTGACGCCTGTCAAATGACTGTCAAATCGTGCGTCCTTCACTTGTTTCCGGTCCCCCAAACAAGAAGAAGCCATAAAATAAACATCTCATTAGCCTCGTTTTTTCGGTCCGTACTGTAAAATACGGATGCTCGTTTTTTTCCATCGATTTATGGCCCGCTCGGTCCGTAATTTACAGTACGGACCGAAAACTCGGCTAATAAGAGGTATTTATTCAACAATACTCATACTTATCACTACTTGGGCGAATCGCCAGTTAAAGCTATAAATTAATATCCTAAATTCAATCATAGCCGGCACGTAAATGTAGTTAGCTAAAAACTCGAAGGTGCAAAAGAAGAGGTTTGTTTTGAAGAATCTAATGCTTTAGTTGGCCGTTAAACGCAATCAGTTTTGTCACTGTACTCCAATAAACCATGTTTCCGTTACGTATATAATTATTGTTTACATCAAGTTAAAACTTCCTTGATTCCATAGCTTTTCCGCGTTTGTACATAAAAGGCCAACTAATAAAAACCATCAGCTGCCCTCTATCACTCCAGTTACCGCCTGTCATTAAGAGGAAGAGAAGCTTCCTACTTTGAGCGACACAAAGTTTGTCTTATCCAGTTTAAAAGGTGACATCCAGCCATGGCGGAACAATCGAGACACGCCAAGGAGTACACCCGAAGTTCGCACTCTACGCAGGAGGTAACTGAGGTAAAACTAAAATACGGCTTGGTGCACGCTATGCACGATTCGCGCTCAAGAAAAGGCACAGTTTTTGTGCCAAAGCAAGGGACAAAAACATACAAAGGCACAGATTAGGCACACTTTAGGCACAGTTCAGGCACGTTTTAAATATTGCTAAGGCACATTTTAGGCACAGTTTGGGCACGGTTTAGGCACAAATATTCAACGTTGGGCACTTTTTTGAAAATCTTTGTAACCCGACTTGGAAAAAAGAAAATACTTGGTACGAATTACAAAAATAATTCAGATGAAAGACGATACAGTTAGAAGTATAGGAAGTGTAAGTTTTGAGCCGCGGCTAAAGTCGGGAAAATTAAAGTATTCTTCGGCAGTCTGTGTTTACTCCGAGGATAAAGTGGAAATTCACACGCGATATAGATCGTTTTCACTGTCAGGCAACCAAAAAAATAAATTGGAAACCGTCCAGTGGAAGAAGCCAAGAAAATGAAATGTTATAAAAGACTAATATATAAACAATTTGTCCAAGTCTCAGGTCTTTGTGGGCCACAGTTTCTGAGTTATTTGCCGAAACGTTTCACGCACCTTTGTAGAGCTTTGTATGGAGACGCCATATTGGTGTACCGTTTTGGTGCACCAATATGGCCGCCGGAAATCAACAAAAACATCTGGAGTTCACTTTTTCTATAAAAGCTCTTTTTTTTTTCACTCGAGAACTAGCATACGTGCACATAAACATATCTTCTAATACTTAAAATGGTTATACTGCTGAAAATCAAGAGGAGAGACTTTTTTCAACGAGACAGCATTCCTATTTTGGTGTCACGCACTGTGAAAACTCGGAAGTTCAAATCGCTGTATTATCGAAATGAAACATGCTACGGGAACGGAAACTTGTACAAAGATTTCCTTTTTGTTTATCTTCAACATGTTGTAAATAAGAAATCGTAAAACCTCGCTTTTTTGACTTTACAATTTGATGACGTCACTGTGAAAACCATCTATATGGTCTGAACCTTTTCGATTACCATACAATTTTATAGAGCTTTCTTTCGTTTCTAAAAGACATCATGAAAGAAGGTCGAAGCCATAATAACAAAATCAAAGCTAAAGAAGTAAGGCACAAAAATAGCTGATAAAAGTCGTAGAAAAAACTTTTTGCGATCGCCGTAAAATTGGCCTGAATTTGCATAATAACATGAAAAGTGGTAATTTGAAACCTTCATGCCAACGCGTGTTGTTTTTTAATGCAAAATGCAGCTTCTTTTTAAAAATATTTCTCTAACTAAAAAGGTAGAATTTACACTTAGTGGCAAAATATTTCAAGCTGCTTGCATGTTTGTTTTTGTTTTCTGGCTCTGTTAGCAAATTAAGCTTTGATCGTATAATTAATAATCGATGAGACGTGCCAATTTTGCTTCAAAACTCATTGGCGTGCAATCAAGTTTTTCGTTTTCATTTTGTAAGTCATATCACGAGTAAATTCTTTTTTTTTTTGAAAGCAAATCTGCCCTCGTCAGAAAACAAATATTTCGTTCCAACTAAACGCTCCGTTGAAGGGGAGAAGAAACCCACCTGGAAATTTTTTAACATCAGTGAAATTCTTGAATCGATGAAATAATATAAACGTGTAATTGAGCTGAGAACTTACCGTAAAATTCCGAAAATAAGCCCCGGGGCTTATATTTTTCAAAGGCCCTTTTTGAGGGGCTTATTTCTTGAGGGGCTTATATTCGGAGGGGCTTATCTACGGAGGGAAATTTGCGTTTCAAAATCGAATGGGCTACCCTTTTATTTGGGAGTAAATTTACCGGTTTTTCTTTGTTTTACTTTGTATTTGAGGGCAATTTTCCAAGTACAAGCCCCCGGGGGGCTTATATTTGGAGGGGCGATTTAACGGAGGGTTTTTTGCGTTACCGGTTTGGGGGGCTTATATTTGGAGGGGCTTATTTTCGGAATTTTACGGTATTTTAAATACGCTAACCTGTTTAATTCCAGTTTGCTGTTTGTCGGGCCTTTCCCTGCTGTCTCTAACCGTATTCTGAGTCATGTTATTTCTCATTAGGGCATAAAAAGGTCGTCAGACCGTGTTTCTAGACTTGATAAAACATTAAAACTGACATAATTGCCGTGCGCACTTTTCTTTCGCTGTGGAGCTCGATAGGCTGGACACGATTTTCCGAGTGACTCAATATTTTGGCACAACTTGTGCACAGATTAGGCACAGTTTGGGCACAACTTAGGCACAAGTGAGGCACAGCTTAGGCACGTTTTTCAAAACTAAAATGCAAACTTTATGCACATCTTCGGCACATTTTAGGCACAAAATCTTTGTGCCAAAGCACATTCTAAAATCCGATTTTCGGTCCAACGCACGGTTTACGAATTTTCACGTTAAAAATGCTTTCTAACCTTAGATATTTGATCTTAGCGTAAAAATGGGTTTCCCGAAGTCTTAACCGTTAGTACATAAGGAAGTTTTAACTTATGAGCATTCCAAAAATTATTATTTCTCCTCTTAACAACAAAAGAAAGTCAATCAAAAGCAACCTTTTAAATTGACGTTCGCGCTGCACAGAGATCGCATGTAGACAGAACATCTTTCTGAAAACGCCCTAAACTTTGTTGTCTTGCCATTATGTTAATTACAGTCATTTTTACTAAGGGTAGTACTCATAAGTCACTGACCACTGTGGAGAAATTTTTCCAAAGTACCATTAACAGAAACAGAGAAATCCCAAAATATGTGTGGTTAGACTGTAAATGTTACACGATCTGTTAAAAAATGGTCCCATTTTGAGCCATATTTTTCATATTTAAATTTTATGTCTTACAGCCAGAAAAGAAATATTCAATGAAAAGCTGTTTATAAACTTTAACTTCTTGCCAAATGTCGATACGATCTGAGTTTTAATAAGTTCATAAGAGCCAAACGATGTGAGATTTTTAGCCGTGTACACCAGTAGCGTGCGCCATGCCATCCTTGGTTTTTTTACTGTCAACCAAGCAAATGCTCAGTGCTTCAATGATTTTTTGAATGACGTTGTTGCAATAAATGTTAGGAGATATCAGCTTCAATCAATCAATCAATCAATCAATCAATCATTTATTTTAACACCTTGCGTCAAAGAGCTAAAAAACTCGTTCAAAATACGAACGTGTATAAATAAAATCTATAATAATTACAACTATATAATATTATTCAATTTTAAAAACAACTCAATAAATAGATACATATAAAAAACTTGGTATTAAAAACATAAAATATAAAAAGCTAAAACCGACTAAAAAGCCACATACTAAAAACGTGACTAGGAAAACTATAATACTCGTTCTAAAAACAGTTGAAAGCTACAATCATGCACTGTAAGACACGTTCTAACATGCTGCAGTCGTACAATCTACTTCCGAAGTCATTAGCATCACTTGAAAGACGCATTTGAGAAGGCAAACTGTTCCATAACTTAGTTAATGAATAAGTGAAAGAATTCTTCTTAAATTTAAGATTAAAGTTAGGTAATTCCAAATTCAAGCCCTCGCCTCTTAGCCGATACGGTGTACGCCTGTATTTAAAAAGGCTTCCAATATAAGTAGGTCCCGTACCATTTAAGCATTTAAAAAGAAGTATTAACGCCTGGTGTAAGCGCCTGCAATATAAGGATTTCATGCTAGCTGTAGTGCGTAATGAGCAGCTCGTCGTATGACATTGACTTGTTGTGCCCGATTAATGTTCTCAAAATATAACAGTTGCCATCTTCGAGACGTTTGCGGTGACCCGTACCCATGCCTACAAACAAAGGACTGCAGTATTCGAGATGAGGTAAAATAAATGCTTTATAAAGTTTTATCATTGCATCATTAGGAAGAAAACGCCTTATTCTTCCTCACTGCAGAGGCCTTCGCGTAGGCTTTCTTAGATGGAACCGCCAGCCACTATGAGTTTTTTTAGCGACTTTGACTCGACGGCCATGGCTGTCTATAGGACCTCTCTATATCCTTGCGTATTTATCAGTAAAATGACGTTTTCAGTGTTTAACTCTTAATTATTTGTAATATTAACATTAACAAAAACATTTTTTCATTAAATTGCTATTTCTAAAGCACCGGGTAAAAGAATTACCAACTTATTGAGATGTTTATTTCATTATACATAACGTCTTTTTCTCTCTTCTCAAGGATGAGCAGCATTTAGTAAAGTAAAGTAAAGTAAAACCTTATTTACACAGGGTAGCCCATTCAGCTCTAAGGCAGGTCTCCATAGGGGCCCTGTATCTTATCTGAATGACATTGGACTTACCAGCTTAGGACAAAATATCAAAGCAGCAAAGAGGCATAAACAATTGACGTATATCTGCATGCAGCATCTAGCTGTAAGAAAGTATTAATTATGATATTGCGCACTTTGCCAGAAATATATCTATGAACACAGTCTTCAAGACAGGCGACCTGTCATTACTTATACAAATGTTTAAAGAGACAACAACAAGATTCAAGCACGTTTATTGTTCCTTTTATCATCCAAAGACCTTTGCATTTTGTGGCGTTTGTACATTGTTGGTATTGAACAAAGATATATCAGATGCGCCGAATGATATTAGGCTTCAACATTCCATTAGAGGTAATGCGGTGTTATGAAAACGATGCATATAGATTAAAAATGGTTCTCCCACTTCATACCTGCTTTTATCGCCAGTTGTTAATGTTTAACCACTGTCTAAGAGATTCTGAGAACAACAGTGGAGTTCTATATTATGGGTGTCCTTGTACTAAGAAAATCAGTTTTTTATGCTTGTCAGTACCAGTTGTACCCTGCCAGCAGAGTCGCTTGGATCCAAGAGACTCTGCTAGCAAGGTATAGCAGTTGCTTCTCTAACGGGACATTTTGAAAGGCACCTTTGCTCACTCTTAAACAGTCCGGAAACAACTTTTGTTAACTTCTTCATTTTTCAACGGTTACATTGCGCCAGTTCGGTGATCTGGTCACGCCTGTGGTTAGTTTTTCCCTTGGACTGAACAAGCTTATGCTACGATTCGAATCAAGAATTTTGTTCTTTATGCTTCAGTTTTTTGTGGCTGCTGTTACCATTGCTCAATGGACCATGATTCCTTTTTATTTGTCTTTTGTTTTGTACATCAAAAGTCGGTTAAAACTTCCGAAGAAGAGTCACTTTAGTCGTAGTGAAATTCATTATCGGGAATGAAAGCCTTGCGAGCCGACTCAACACTGAGGTTCGGTTTTTTGAACGAAATCTCTTTCTTAGTGGGTTAGTTTAAAAAAATAAGTGCCTTTCTAGTGTACTCCATGTGTTTTCATGAAACTGTTCACAATAAATGCGGGAGGTTAGGTAAAAGCGCTGGACAAAACGAAAATGTCTTAGAACGCGGTTTTGTTACACTTTGTCTAAAATCCGTTAACATTAAATGACCGGCCCTTAGACTGGATCCTGAAACCGTGTCCTCGAGTGACGGGAAGTCAAATAAAACCACATACAAAGAACTCTCGTCAGGTTTATTAAAAGTTAAGCAAGTAGCCAAATTACAGGGGTACAGTGATATATGTGGACAAATTTTGTGGGTTCTTTTTCTTGTATGAGAGTCTGCCATTCAAAAGTGTTTGAAGAGAGCTCTTACAGTCCGGAAGAGTTTAGGTAAATTTTAAATCTTTCTATCAAGAGATTCCAAGTCTTCATTTTAATCGAAAGAAGTGTTTTGTTAGGAAGAAAGGATTAATTCTGTATGTATAGAATCTTTCAAAACTGAATTGTTTTAATAAGTAAACATCCAATGTCGAACTTGGGCTACTTGCGTTCATTTTGCCGGTGTATATACTAAGTCAAATACCGAGTTATTATGAAGAAAATATTATTCTAGAATTTATTCAAAATTTATAGTTATGAGACTTTGTTCTCATTTAATTATAATTCTTAAAGAGAAAAAAAGCAACATGTATGGTTTGGATAGATGTATTTTGAGAAATACTTATCATCACCACCTGTCATCACATGAGTTTCTAATTTAATTGCTCCCTTCACCCTGCACTGCAGGCAAGTGTTCAGCAATTCCTAGTACATTAAGACAAAATAATTTTCCTTCATGATTAGCCGAACGAAAGTCTAACGAACCATAATTCCTATACGTAATGATTGCTTACAATATAAGACAGGCACTTCATTCAAACCTTCCTTCTCTGATCCTTCGGACGTTAAATTTCACCGTTTGAGCAGAGAGTACAGGGCATGACTATAGGGTCTGGAAGGGGTGATCCGTGAACTGACCGTAAACAGAGCGTGAATCGGGAAAACTCATGAAATACAGTCGTGATTCGTGAATTATATATTCACTGTGACGCGTGATCCTCTAACATTGTAGTCTGTGAGTCGAGATTTCTACCGATAAATCAGATGTAAGTGTCGTGACGAGGGTTCGAAGTTAAACGATGTAAAAGAAAAAAAATTGTAAAGCTTCGATTTTATAGCAATAAAATTCATTGCCAGTCAACTTTGTAGTGGTAAAACAAAAAGCAGACAATCGGCCTGTAACGATAAAAGGAATCCTTTTTTGGTTACTGCTTCTCTTCATAATTCTTTCTTTTTTTGAACGAACTTAGTTTCAGCAGCACAAAAGTTTGACTTGGCTAGTCAGTAAATGTTGTCATTTAGCCATTCATCACAGAATCACAGCGCTTCAAGGAGCTTGCTTCGCGAGTCGTACGAAGTAATCCCATCTACAAAGGGTGAAGCTCAAATAAAGTAAACTTTTGACTCACTTAACTGTTCAATTAACTGTTTTGTACACCAAAACAGGACTAAAATGATTTTCTTAGTTTAGTTCAGTGTTGTCATTATTTATCTGAAGGGACTAGAACTAAAGCTGTATCGATACCCAAACGTCATGCTTCTGCTAACACAATGGACATTTGTCCCTAAAACAGGCCGAATCTTCATCATGGGTATACGAAACCTTTAAGAAGAAAAAGTGCAGTCATTATATTCCTTGTAAAGAGGAACCAAACCGGTGGGTAATTAATGATAACAAACCATACTTTGTAGATTCTATTGTTGTTTACAAGAATGGCACATGAGTCAGTTCGCTGGGGCAGAAATTTAATAGCCTTGTTGCCAAAGAGCAACAAATGGACCAAGAAAACAGACTTTCATGGGCTGCCTCATTTATGTATCAGTGGATTATTCTGAATTAGGAATAACTCTTAGGAATAGCCAAATTCAGAAAAACAATTGATATTATGCAATGATTGATATAAATAGTCCATATGACATAGTATTTTTTCCACCGATTAAAAAGCTACATACCAAATAAAAAGAACTATTGATTATACACGGTACGATGTGAAGGTAGTACTGAAAAGGTTTGGCTTGAATAACTGAGCCTCAAAGTTAGAACCGTGTGTAATAAATAGCTATAAATAAATAGTACATTCTGGAATTACTTCTCAAAAGATTTCATTTCAAAGGTACCATAGGATTATCACCAATATTCATGTCCGTAAATATACTGAAAGAGAATAGGTGAACCATTTGACTTCTAAATGTTAAAAACAAGTTAAGCAGGCTAAAAAAAGCTGAAACATAATCAGCAAAAATTTGCATTTCTAATGATATCATGATTTAACGATGATCATTTTTTTATATTTTTAGTTGCGGTTGTGGTCGTTCAAAGGCCTCCCATGATAGCACAAAAAAAGATGGACCAACGAATAGAAAACATGAATTAACAGAACCTGGACAGGCAAGTAGAACTGAGTTAAATGTCGCCTATATGAGGCTACCAGTCTCCCTACTCCGCAGAGGTTTCCCAAGTAAAAATATAAACGTGCCGGGACGATCTCTCTTTCCCCTTCCCATCGTTCCTTACGCGCTTTTTTTTTTCCCTCTCCCCAGCCTCGCCGCAACACAAAGAGGACTATGCGGAGGAGGGAGGGCCACGAGTTCAATTTTAACAATTTTTAGGGTCTACAGTATTAGTTATGATGTGTTTCATGGGTTGTTCTAACAATCAATCAGGAAACTATCGCCGTCGAATGGAACGCAGAAACAGATGGACCGACGGATGCTTTCGGCGAACTTGAATTTACAGGAGCTGGACAAACAAGTAGAGCTAAGGTAAGGCTAGACTTAATCTACATCTACATTTATTAAGTTGATAAAATCTTAAAAGCTAAAATAATTAATATATATATATACATATATGTACATATGCATAAGTTGAATAAAAGTAGATATGTCAAATAACAAAATAAATAGATGATAATTCAAAATTATCATTTACTTCACTTATTTCACGTGCTTTCCTAAATTTAACTGAAAGTCAGATAATGACTTGCAATTTACAAAGTCAGCGGGCAGTGAATTCCACTCTGTTATTGATCTAGGAAAAAAGGAAAACTTGAAGGCGTCCTTAGAAACGTTTGGCATTCCATACTTAAAAGCATGGCTGTTGCGTCTTGTTAATTCCCTGTTTGGTATTAAGTGTTCTTCTGTGTTTATGTCTACTAGATTATGACTAATTAAGTTTGTACATTAAAGTCAGTCTGTTTTCCTTTCGTCTTGTTTCTAATGTGTCCCATTTCAGATCAGATAACATGTCTGTCACGCTTGCTGTTTTGTTGAAGTTTTGAAGGCAGAAACGAGCAGCTTTTCTCTGAACTCTCTCCAAGGTTGAAATATCTTTTTTGTAGTGTGGGTCCCACGAGGCACTTGCGTACTCCAGTTTGGGTCGGACGATGCTGGTATAGGCCGTTTCACATACTTTCCTGGGGCAGTTTCAGAGATTTCTCTTGATCAACCCCAAGGATCGACTGGCCTTGCTTGAGATAGATGAGATGTGTTCAGACCACTTTAATTTACTGTTAGCAGTAATTCCTAGGTACGATGCAGAGTCTACCTGTTCGAGTTTAGACCCAAAGAATAAATATGACCGTTGAGGAGGTCCTTGCTTATTTGAAGTGCAGATGATGTTCCATTTAGAAGGGTTAAATTACATCTGCCAATCATTTTGCCAGATTTCTAGCTTGTTGAGATCGTCTTGGAGATTGTCGCAATCTGAGTCTTCAACCACCACTCCGTACAAGAGAGTGTCATCGGCAAACAGCTTAACTGTAGAAGTCAGACCGTTTGGCAGGTCATTAATGTATGTTAGGAACAACAGCGGGCCTAGTACTGACCCTTGTGGTACACCAGAGGTCAACGGGGAAGAGGTAGATGTTGCACCCTCTCAGTTGACAGTTTGGGCCCTCTTAGTGAGAAAGAATTCCATCCAGGACAAGAGGTTTCCATGGATACCGTACCTACCGTTTAGAAAAATCCAACACAGCAGCATGATCAGATTTGTTTTGTTGTAGAGAACTTGCAATGCCATGAATATCAATTATTAATTGAAGTTCTGTAGGTCTTTTTGATCTGAAGCCGTGCTGACAGTCTGTTAGTATGTTATAATGTTCAAAATGTTTCATCACATGGCTATGTACAATGTGTTCAAGAATTTTCGATGCTATGCAGGTTACAGAAATGGGTCTGTAGTTTGAAGGATCAGACTTTTTCCCTTTTTTGAGGCACACCACATACATTTGCCGATTTCCATCTACTGGGTACGGTACCACTTTCGATAGAATCTTGGAAGATATTAGTTAGGATAGGAGCAATCTCAGCTGCATATTCTTTAGAAACCACGGTGGAATGGCATCAGGTCCAGAAGCTTTATTTGTCTTCAATAGCGATAACTGCTTTGCAACTCCATTAATGGTGATAGACAGACTGTCAATGGCTGGTATTCTGTCGTATCCAATATCAGGGATGTTTGATAAGTCTTCTTGAGTAAAGACACTTAAGAATTGATTGTTTAACATGTCAGCCTTTGATTTATTATCGCTGATTATGGAGCCATTTATTTCGAAATCTGCAATCCCCAGCTCTTCTTTATTCAGTTGTTTGATATATGACCAGAATCGCTTAGGGTTTTCTTCAATAGCTTCTCCTAAATAATCTGAAATATATGCATTCCTTGCCTCTTTAAGCCTTTTGTGCATTAGTTTTCTAGCTACACGAAATGCCTTCCAATCATTATGTTTTCCGGAAGTTTTTGCTTTATTATAAAGCCTTTGTTTACGCCTGGCTAGACGTTTCAAGGACTGATTGAACCACGGTAGATTATATCTTGAGCTAGTCCACTTAGAGGGGATGCAAGAATCCACTATACGGTGGATGTTATCTTCGAAGCAGCTCCATTTATCGTGGATTGAATTAAAGCCCCGATTATTCATATAAAATGATAGTTTTGTAAGTTCTTCTTTAATGCGAGTAGAGTCGGCTTTTTTCCTAATGGATAGTTTTAGTTTGACATTTTTCTTTCTTCGGCAAAAAGTGTTCACAGTGAATAACACAATGTCGTAATCACTAATATCAGGGACGACGCTAACATTTTCGATGATGTTGGAATTATCCCGTCTAGTTGGTTTTTTGACGTGTTGACTCAGATCATGATCATCAATTATTTCTAACAGTCTACAGAGGCAGGAGATTGGCTTGAATATTCAGCATCCCAACTAATATCAGGAGCATTGAAATCACCAGAAACAATGACGTTATTTTTGTACACGCTGTTCCCAAGTTTTAACAATGATACATCTAGCTCATCGAGGCTTGTGACGTTGGAGGAATTTGGTCGGTAATATGATCCAAATAGCAGTGATTTTGTTTTGTTGTCTGCTAGCTGACATTGGGTCCAAATAATTTCGCAGTCGGTGTCCAGGTCTGAGCGATATGTTATTATAATATCGTTTTTCACTGCCTGGAAAACACCTCCGCCGTGGCAGTCATCAGGATGGTCTTTTCTAAAAATTTTGCAGCCATTTGGAAATATTTCGTTACTTTCGATGTTCGAAGTTAACCAGGATTCAGTACATGTCTATCACGCTAAGCAGAAGCATATAACCCCGGAGCGTCTAAATTCCCCTTATCTGTTAAGAACCATGCTCGGGTTTTTTAGCCGACGTACCCGTCCAATCAGAAGTACGGAAAATTATTTTGCCCAAATATGGAATCAGAGAATTCAAGGCTAAAACCTTTGAGCTTGTAACGCTTATACTTGTATGTCTACAGCCACAAAGTTATAAGCGGTATGGCTTGAAAACATCGACCAGCGACGAAATAAGACATGGATGTTTACATTTCTTCACAATATCGCAAAACCTCTCGCCGAATCACAGCAAAATGCGCTTGCAGCCTCTTTGACCGACAAAGATCATCCTCAGGCTACTAGCTGCAAGCCTATCTACCACGGCAAACCAGTTATCTGCAACTTCTGTTCTCATTCAGCAAAACCAGCATGGCGACTACAAACAAAATGATATGGCAAGCTTTGCTGAAACATTGTACAAGGCGCCGACGAAGTCGGAACGGAATCTTTTTTTGTGAGTGTAGATCTTTTAATTCATTCAGAACAATACGCGAACACAAGTATGGCAGTTTTGATTAAACGTGTGACATGTAAAAGTTTTTTTTTTTTTCTTTTTGGGGACAAAAAAAAGTTTTAAGCTGCGAAATTTACCTTCGAGGCCTTCGACCTTGTTTCTTTCAAGGCGGAGCGCTTGTCCTTTTCTGAACTGCGACCAAGTCAGCAGCCGTTTTACAGAATATTCACGTAAACTTACATTTCACACATTATGCTCAAGGAAAGTACGATATTGAAAGGAAATTTATGTACTTATAAATGTTTCATAGACGTTTGATATATTTTTGATAGAGTTTTCAAGAAAAATTGAGAAATGTGCCCGATCTGAGAGAGAGAATTTTAGTGTTTATTTTTGCCGTGCTCAGCAGATTTTACTTGTGGAAACGTATCCTGAACTCACGGGTTTTCGAATAAAAATTTTCAAGAAACAATTTGTCTGTTTATTGTTTTCTGTTTGTTCATTCATAAAATTAGTTGAAAACATGATCGCCGCATCTAAGTCTTAAAAATTAACTTGTGTTTCATCTTTCTTATTCAGTGTCTTATTACATGCATCACTTCTCCGAAGATGTACTTTCCAGTTCAGCAACTAGTGAATTTTTTTGAAAATATGTGTTACTAGTTATTTTAGATAGATAGTAAATGGTTTTTGAAGGTTATTTGCGCTAATGGTCAGGCAAAAACCGTTTTTGAAGTAACAACTTCAAGAAATCACTTCTCTTTTACCGGTAATACGGCGCATGTCATTGGTAGTCGACTTCGTCTTGTTAGGAGGAACTAACTCGGTCTTGGTCATTTGAGGATTAATTGTGTATTCCGTTTTTTGTCAAATATTACCTCGTAAAACAGTAAATGCTTTTTGCACCGCATCATTGACCTCGCGATACAAGTTTTCCTATAGAACACTCGCACGACAATCTCGCTTATCAGTAATTCCATATTGGGAGGTAAATTTTGATTGGTTCCCTAAAAAACCCGAGCTTTGCGACAAAGTTATACACTTCGGGGTTATATGCTTCTCCGCTAAGACAAGGCAAATATAGTTATGAGGGCCGTTTTTATTTCTACACTGATCACTGGCTGATTTTGGACTTACATTTATACCCTACCGTAGTAAAATGGAGGATAAGTTGTACACTTTAAGGTTTGGGCTCGACAGAGATAAGGGAGCTTAAGCGACAACGTTTTTTAGCGACGGACGTCAACCGGAGTACACTTTTCGCTTCATTGGGCAGTGGTTTGGTTGAGACTGTAGGGTAAATTATCTTTGTAAGAGAAAATAAACTTAGCAATACGAGTTAGAGTCAAGGCATATAAAAAGGGAGAAGGCCTCACTTCCGGTTGACGTGCGTCGAACAAAAATTGGGAGCTTAAGCAACAGCGTTTTTCAGCGAAGCACGTCAACCGGAAGTGCATGACTTATTGCATCATTGGGCAGTGGTTTGTTTGAAACTCGTGGGTAAATCGTCTTTATAAGAGAAAAGAAACTTAGCAATAAACTTTTGTTAGCGTCAAGGCATATAAAAAGAGAGAAAGCCTCACTTCCGGTTGACGTGCGTCGCTCAAAGACACATTTATGCAGTGAGACAACTCAAGACGTGCAAAGTTCCGTCGGCTGATATTGTTCATATCTACTGCGCGCTAATTCGCTCTATACTAGAGTACGCCTCCGCTGTCTTTGCTGACTTTCCTAAGTATCTTGCTTTGCTATCTTGAGAACGTGCAAAAAAGGGTCCTTTCCATCATTTGGCCAGGTATTTCGTATGAAACAGCACTTAACAAAGCTGCATTATCCACTCTTTCTGACCGTAGGGCAGTCTCGTGTATTAAATTTATAGGTACGGTTCGGCCAGGTAACCCATTATACGCACTAATACACAAAAGATTGGTACCTATATCTACCAGTGTGTGTCTAAGATCAGGGAGTTCTAACAGACCCATGGCCACAAGGACTGAACGTTTCTCAAATTTTGTTAGTGTTAAATATTAATCTTGTCAATAAAAGCGTATTAGTATATATATCACAGCTTGTAAGGTATGCTACAATTTAGTCTTCCGACTGCAAAAGGGGCAATAAAGCAGCGATTTGTGATTTGATTTGATTTGATTTCAAAAACGTCTTTGCTGAAGTTCCCTAATATACTAAGCCAGGGCTAAAGGCGAAGCTCCCATTAATAAATTTATAATTTAAATCAAACAATAAACTTGTAATCCACAAATCAGTTAACTTCGGGCACATTCATGTGACTTTTGAGGGAAAGGGCTAACTGATTTTAAAGTGAAACATCTTACATAGAGTTGATAGCCTTATATGTACGCCCCAAAAATAGCAAACATCTTCGATCACATTCAAGATCACAGTAGATTAGGCCTCGAAAACAATTCTTGGAAAACAAATCAGGCCGAATTTTTTTTGCGTTCGACAGGTTTACTTTACAAATTCTTGCCAACAAATCTGGGGGTGTGTAAACCAACCTTTAATACTTTTTATACATCACATCTGAGGTGAAACAGTACTATTTATCATACAGACCTCTGACAGAATGCGGTATTTCACAACTTTTCAAGACTTATTCAACTCAGTCAATATTCAGGACGATCAATCGTGGGCTTTTAGCGAAACCGTTCAAAAAAATTTCCAAAATCACCCATACGGCCAGCTGGTTCTCATTTCTAGTGCAAGCTGTCAGTGTGGTCGGGTGTTTGAATTAACTTTAATATAGTTACGCTTCAACATAATAATGAATTTATTATTATTATTTTTTGTTATTTAATGGTTTCAGTTAAAACGATGTGTAATCTTATATCAAGAGCGTTTGATACACGCGACATTTTTGAGTACCCCTGCAAGCGATGTTCATGAACGATGAAAACAAACGGCACGGACAAGCGATTAAAATTGCAAGAGAGGCTACTAACAATCAATAAAAGAAATATAATTCGGTGAAACATTTACAGAGACAACAATTTTCATTCACTAAGACAAGTATTAGAGTGTCTCTAAAATCCTGAGTCTTTAAGCTTAAAGCTTAAGCTTAAGTTAATTAAGCTTATCATTCATTCAAAATATTTCCCCAATTCTGATTGGCTAAAAGCACACGCATAATTCACTATAACCAGTTACTTATGACCAAATTTGGAAGAATTTTGTGTTTAACGAGGAAATGTCGTCAAAAATGCAGCCCGCTACAGGTTAAGGCATCGTTACCGAGAAGACCTGGCGACGAAGTTGAGTTGTTTTGGTTGTGTGGAAACATATGGCGGACATTTCACTCGTTTCAAGAGTAAGAACTACAGCTGAGACTAGGCGAAATAATAGCTAAAAACATGGCAAAAACAGCACGAAGACAACTCGGAGGGCCACATCTGCTATTTGGAGAATACTTGCGGAGCTGAACAAACCTAAAAGTACACTATCGAAGATGAATTTAACATCGATGCAGGTAAGCATGTTTCAGCTACGTTTTTAAACTTGGAATTATTTTGAATGAATAATAAAGCAATTAATTATCCACCGAGGCAGAGGTGGATAACACCCTCCTCGATCTGCTTAATTCTTCATATCCTACGAAAGCCGAATTCATTAACTACTAATTATGATTTACTTTAAGCCGGCCTCCCAGTGTTGGCTTTTTTCAAAGATGAACTCCTCGAAGCAAGAAAATTGCTTAAAGTTTTCTTTCTACAGCCACATTTATAACTAAATATTCTTCGGAACGTTTTCTTTCTATTTGCGGTGAGAAAATATATCTGAAGGCCCTTTAAAGTTCTGTAAGCTTGTATCAAACCTGATACTAGGTCAGGTCATTGACTCAAATCTTACAAACGTGCATAAACTTGCTGCATAAACTCTGCTCGACCTCGTGAAATTAGATATAACAAAAACAAACATCAAATACAATAACTACTCAGGCTTACCGTTCGAGATTCAGTTCCTGAAAGCTATCAAGGAAGGCCACAGTTGCTTGAGACTTTTAAACCCTCTTACGCATTAAGCAAGGTGAAAAGCAAAAACGATGCCATCTGGACTCAGATTACGGAATTTTGACAAGCGACGCATTTCTCAACCAAAAACCCAATAAACAAACCAGCCTTGCATAACAGAAGACTCTTGATAGCAGCTGTATTTCATTTTGTACATCCAGTGGAAAAAGATAGTTAAAAACGTCACGAGCTGACACAAAAGCTCTGGCAGCTTCAGCTGTCAAAGTAAACAACTTTCAAGATGATGCATACATTTTCCGCATAAACTCACCTGTCAAATTTTGACCAATCACAGCATAAAAGTTGGACGTAGAGCGGGACCAACGCGTGACCATGGTAAGAAAAGGTCTTCCTCGCCTGTATTTTTTAAAAAACTGGCTGAATTTTTGCGTCCGAGGTCAGTTTGAAATCAAAATCTTAATAGTGCAGGGCCATAGCGACATAAACACAACATATTTCATATGAATCATTGGAAAAAATAAACTTGAGCCTACGATCATTTGAAACTGGTAATTTGTCAGCGGATGACTTCAAAAAAATTTGATCATAACACTGATGTGCAATTAGTTTTCTCTTGGGTTCCCAAGCTAGCGAGAGTAAACATTGGTTTGCCTGTGGTGGGGACGGACGGTCGCTCGCTCGGTCGGTGTACGGTCACGCGATTACCAAATTTTCTGGGATGCGTAGATTTACTTAGCTATGGGGCTACGCTTGCGCGCATTGCAAAGCGCAGCGCGTGGAGCTCCGCTATTAAAGAGTGGAATCCCGCTCTCTGGACAACCTCCTTAAAACAAACACCCACATATAAGAGTTTTTTATCGGTTAATACAGTGTTTAACCCTTGTACTGAAGCCCTTTAATACAGTTTCGGCCTCACTAAACAAGTTTCACTTCCTTGGCGTTTTTGTTGAAGTCACTTTTTCCTCTTTGTCTGCTTTAGTATTTACTTCAATACAAGATTTGTCCGTGACGTTTCATCGTTGAGCCCGATAAATATGGGCGACACCATGGTATGTCCCCTTGGCCGTCTGTATTAACCAGGTTCCCGGTGACTGTTTTTAAGTACGATCCGATATGTTTTAGTGACTACAAATGTAACTCTGTAAAGCTTCAACAAACTCGCTTCAGATTGATGAAATCTTATGTTCGCTAGTTCTTATCATGGTTTTGTTTTTTTTTTTTTCGGTAGTTCATTCGTATTTCTGATGACACTGATGCTGAGGATGTTCTGCGCCTTTTACAAGAGGAATGGAAGTTAGAATTACCCAAACTTGTCATCTCTGTTGCCGGTGGAGGAAAAAACTTTGTCATGCATCCAAAATTAAAGGATTTGTTTCGACAGGGATTGTTGAAGGTGCTTAATTGTGTAAAGTCAATCATTGATACACATAATCATTGATAGAAATGACATCATAAAATAGTCTTTAGATTCAGACTGCTATTCATGTCTGATGTTTACACTATAGCCAGGGTTCTATCTAGGGTATTTGGGGGGTAGAAGCTTCCCGGCAAAAAAGCCCAGCTTCCCCGCCAAAATATTGTCATCATTACAATATATAAGTAACTATATCTGAAAAATCATCCAGACGCGACGAGGTCAGTGCACACACAGTAACATTTCTCAAATAGTGTCTCAAAATGCACCAGATTGCATCTCAGCGCATATTCATTTCAAAACATTTCCGGGGAGCATGCACCCGGATCCCCCTAGGACGCTCGTTGCCTTCGGCCTCTCAGGACGCTTCCCCCAAAGGATAAATCCTAGATAGAACCCTGATAGCGGATTGTTAGTGTGAACACAGCCTTAACGATATCAGTCCAAAGAGTGCCTGGGAAACTTAATATTTTTATCATATAACCAGCTCCCAGTTGGTTTGATAGCTTAATTGGTTAGAGTGCTGCACCGGTAACGCATCCCGGGTTCCAATCCTGGCAAGCCTCAACTTTTCCACCGTTTCTTCTCGCAACTGCATAAGTTGCGTATTTTACTGTGATGATCTCCTCTGAATTAATTTAATATACTCGAACCTTCCCTAGCCTGTTCCAGGCTCTCCGTTAGTGGGGATGACGCGTAAGTAAAAGGCAAGCGAAATCGTGAGCGCGTGATCTGGGAAAAGGGGGCGGTGGCGAAAAAGAGGAATGGAGAGAGAGGAAGTGAGTCCCAACTTTCCTTCCGTTCTATTTTCGTATTCGCGCTTTCTCAATTTCTTGGACCCGACTACCTCGGAGCCTGGAACAGGCTAAACCTCCCCGAGCAACTATTCAAAATTAGAGAATTTCTTGGTCTCTCATGAAAAAGGCAGAGAATTTATTACAAACAATTTACTTTTCGAAGTTGTCACAGAAAGTTCTTCGTGTACTCTGGGTGGCGTAGTACATACAGTGGACAAAAAAACGCCGCAAAATTCACCAAGTGGTCGCTTACAAGAGGTGAAAAACAATGGAAAACTATAAGACCGTCAGGCCAAAAAGTGGTCGAGGTGGCTTATAGGAGGTGATCGTTTACGAGAGTTCTAACTATAGAGCTTTCACGCGGGGAAAACTTCGGTATTTTGAACAGATGGTCGCTTATGGGAGGTGGGCACTTACGTCGCGAGAGGTGGTCGCACATGGAGGTTCGACTGTAGCACAAAGAGGTTCTAGATGAAACTGATAAACATCATTATTAAAGGGGCTGTGTCACGGCAGTCCAGTTCATTTTGTTTAATTTTGCCAATTACTCGCCCTCAATCGCTATGGAATTTAAAGAAAGCAAAGAAATTACAGGTACATGACAAAATCAGAGATCCGAGACAAACAAATACGTCTCCTGAGCATTATTTGTGAAGTTGCAAGCAGCAGGGATCAACTTTGAAAAACTGTTAGGCTGAACAGTTTTCCAAAACCCTACTTTCAATCCGTTTCAATCTTCTTCAGTTTTGCCCATCCGTGGCATCCGTTGTTTCTGTTATGTTACTCTAACTGTCCTTTGAAGTTTTAAGCAGTTATTTTTATGTTTCTCTTAATTTAACGGGCGTTTTGTAATTTCCTAATTTGGCTGGATTTCGTGACACAGCTCCTTTAAAATCATGTGAACATCCCAAGCCTTAAGTCTTTTCTTAAATCTTTCATGTGCAGAGCCCGGATAGATTATGACGCTTTTCGAAACTTATCGACAGCAGCCCAATATACACGTGATTCACTCCATGACTACACAAGGTCCCTTTCCTTAGCACCTGAAAGGATCAGTTTGCCTTAATCGTCACAAGACACCATAAAAGGGTGAAAAAGTTCGTGACTTCGAACACATGTACCCAAAGTAAAGAAAAATAAGCGTAGAAAGGCTGCATCCATAATAACCTCTTAAACTGTTAACCTCTTCTCAAAATTTTTTGCACAGGCAGCCAAGACTACTGGTGCATGGATTATAACGGGGGGAACAAACACTGGCGTAATGAAACACGTAGGAGAAGCAGTAAAGGGACATACTGTAATGTCACGAGGGGCAATGCTCACAGATAAAACGCCTCAGGTGCACTTGATCGGAATCCCTCCATGGGGCATTGTGGAGCACAGGTCCGAGTTGACTGGAAAGGTAAGAAGCATTTTAAGAGACACTGAGTAGCGCACACGAGGAAGATATCATGTTCGCCTGTCTCTTGAACGTGGAACAACGACAAGAAATCTTTAAACAGGAAACACACTTTACAATAGTGAGGTTCTGAGAGGCCCTCTGAAAGGAAAAGAAAAAGAGTTAAATAAATAAATAAATAAATAATGGTAATAAAAGGAACAAGTGGGAAACTAAAAACATAAATTGAAGCTAGCTGGTTTAAACTAAAGTGCAAGCATGCATGACCGCATTCGAAAACTATTTCAAACGTCAACGCAACCTTTTCTTAGGAACGGTATGTCTTTAACGTACTGTTATGAGCAAAGCAAACGAGAGTCAGTTGGCAGCTATGTCAAAGCCAAGGGTTCCCAGAAGCAGCCAAACGGCAGCAAAAACAAACAAGGAGAGAAACGTTTCCCTACCAGAATTAAGACGACTGGCAATGAGAGGTACAAAGACTTTGGTACCCAACACAAACGAAACGAATCCCCGGCATACAACCGAAAATACGGTCACAAATGGCATCATTTTGAAGCGTGTGTATGGCCAAACACTTACAAGAAAGCCACGATAGCTCAGTTTCTCAAACTCTCATTTCGTATATAGAGTCCTTTGGTAATCGATTGTTTGCAACGCTCAGCTTCTTTTGTGAACACAATAATCTAAAAACTATGCTTCAATGTCAGCTAGACACAGCTGCGACCTGTCATGTACTCAATTATAGAGACTTGTCGATTATCAAGCAAGAAGGCAACCCTCCCATGGAAAGAGGCAAAACCTAGCTTAAGTTATTTCACGGATGCCTGAAGCCTCTTGACGAGGTCCTTCTGCAAGTCTTTTCCCAAGTGTCAAGTCTCTAGCGAAACAAATAAGACTTTACTGTCTGCAGAAACCTTTCAAAAATTGAAACTTCTCAAGTTACCATCTCAGGCTGAAGTTCTTGTCTTGTATGACAAAACAGCTCCCTTGACAGTTCAAAGCATACGGCTGAAAGATTATTGGCGATTTCTTCAAAGGTCTTGAACGTATTGGTTCAGGTTCAGCTCTGTACTTGATCTCTCAACAGTTCCAGCACGGCACACCTCTAGACGTAGCCCTAAAGAGTAAATGAAAGCAAAGCTCATAGATCTAGAAAGAAACCTAAAGGTACAGAATGGATCAGCAATGTGATAGTGCTAACCAAGCCCGGTAAAATCCGAATATGCTTAGACCCTCAAGAACTGAACAAGGTAATTCAGCGTCCTAAATTCCTAATTCCTGCACTTGAGGAACTGTTACCTATTGTAAGCTGTCCAAAGACAGGATCTCCAGAACGCAAAACTAGAAAGATGGCTTTTACCAAGTTAGTCTTTACTAAGCCATCAGCAAATTAACAAAGTTTTGCATGCCATTTTTCGCTATCGCTACCTCCGCATGCCCTTTGGAAGCTTTGCTTCAGAGTAATGTAGAAAGTAACCTACAAGAGAAAAGTTTAGAGACAACATCATAGTTATGGGATTTGGCGAAAGGGAAGAGCAGGCAGTCCTAAAACCAGATCCTGATAACGTGAAAGTTGTAGAGGAAATGCCCCAGCCAAAGTGCCAGCAGGAAGCTCTAACTCTCCTTGGTTTCATCAATTAACTCTCATGGTTTCCCAGACTTGCGTAAGTATAGCACAGCCTCTAAGACTTAACGACTAAAGACAACAAGTTCACATGGTCTTAATAGCATAAAGTAGCTTTTCAGAAAATTAAGAAGCTTGTGGTCAACCACCCCATACTCAAGTACTAATTGCAATGAAGATGTCATCTTCCAGTGCAATGCCAGTGAAAGAGGATTAGGCGCAGCTCTTCCATAGACCGGTCAGCCGGTAGCGTTTGCTTCAAAGAATTACACATCAACATAGGGAAGATACGCTTAAGGAAAAAGAATGCCTTGCAATCGAGTTGGCAATTGCAGAGTTGTTGTTAAACCTATTGCGTTTTGACGTTCTCGTTGCCGTGGCAGCCGCCACATCTTAACTCCCAAATAAAAGTGGATAGCGTCCTCAAAACAGACCCACAATGCAATTCGGGAGAAAACCAACCATAAAGGCCCAAGTCCCCACCTCAAAATAACCAATCAAAGGCTCTTGCCTCGAAACTATCCACATAGTTGACAAGAATAGTGCATACCACTATCCGTAGGCGACCACTTTGCAAATAACCTCATTCTTCGCAGTCAAATACCGTTTAAGGTAATTCCCTTGTTTGGCACTGCGCACACTCTACTGCGCATAATATTGCGACTTCCAACATGGCGGCGGTTCTTCCCGCTAGCCCAAAAAGAACAAATAGGGACCGCATTTGCAGAGCTTAAGGTTTTATTCACAATAATAATGTTGCAGATCGGCTGACAGCTTCCTGGTCTGCTATCGAAAAACAAGAAAATGAAAAAAATGTGCGTGATCCCGAAGTCTGCAGTGGCTTTCAGCCGTCGAGTTGTGGAATTAAAATATAGATATCCTGGTTGAGGCTTTGGATGGGGGCTGTAAAGCCTGTGGGGCAGCTATACGGCTCTCCAACTGCATTAACGAGACAGTGTCTGGCCTAGGATCGCTACTGTACATATGTGGTTCAAACTCCGAGAGTGGAGAGACGAATATATTTGTGGAACAAATAAGACCCACCGGTAACACCGGAACCACGCGTCTTTGATGAAAACTGACGAAGTTTGCTGTTGAATTCACATTTTACTGTATATAGAAACCAAACAAGAGAACATATGAAGACTAGGAATCAATTGTCTTTTCTTCAGGATTATTGCGTAAAAGAAAAAACAAACGGACTCTAGCTCACTGCAACACAGAACGCCAACGCTACAAAATAGTCCAAAATAAAGGTTCATAGCTCCAAAATCTCATCAAACCTTGATTTACCTCATTCCTTGGTATATGTTGTACTCTTTCTGTGCTGGCGATATCGAGCCCATAAAAAGAATCGAAAACAAGCTTGATCTCGACTGCATACTTCGAACACGATGGGCGCTATTTTGTATCTCCTGCCAGTCCCCACCACACAAATTCTATATCCTGACTGCGATGTCAAAACCATGTCCACCTTTCACGAAAGTTTGTGAGGAAACAAGCAACCGGTAATAATACCCCAGTTTAAGAGTCTGCTGACGCGTAAATAAGCACTGTAACTCCATATTTTTATTGCATTTTTTTACTGTTCATGTCATGAATGTTGATTATTCCAAGTTTCAAAAAAAGGTTGATGGTAGAACAATTTCAAGGGAATTACCTTAAAAACTTTCCAATCCCCAAATTTCATAAGCAAGCGGTTTCCCTGTTTCTGGAGGGAATTCTGTTTTTCACTTAGGTATACAAAATTGTAATTGTAATTATAGTACAAATTAGCGTGGTGTTGTTTATCAAAATTAGTGAACACCTACAAGAACAAAACTCGCAGATTCAAGCCAATAATAAATAAGCAACTAGTATGTTATGCCCGATTTATATGTTTCTCTTAAGAGCGGCTCCGCGTAAATATCAACTAGACGTGGAAATAGTCAAAAAATGACCTGGCCTCAAACTTAGCCAGAATAAAGCTCAATGGGCCCTAGTTACAAAATCCTTGGTTTAAGTACGATCGAGTGAATAATATTTTTTTAACGAATTTTTTTCTTGCCGAGGCCTAAAATGGGCAAAAATCATGCGAAATTAGAGTCATATTTAGTAACTCGTAAATTTTAAAATAAAGTTGGCTACTAAAATATAATGACACTTCGTATTTTTACTATCTTTCCTCTATAATTTTAACTGATTAGTTCGCGATTTGGTCGACAAGAGATTTTTGAAGAAATTTTCAAAGTTGTTGACTCAAAATCGCTTAATCAACCGTCAAAATTTAGCTCTTTTTCACGAGCTAAAAAAGCGGATTGGTACATGGCTTTGAACACCAAGGCTTGTTTAGTCTGAAAGAGCATTCTTTTTTCTTCAAATTAGCGCAATAAAATTTTTGGGTAAATGAGATCACGAGCGCTGACAAAGCCAAGCAAATGTAAATATTACACTAAAAACGGGCGAAGAAACTTGACCTCTAACCGAAGCACAACCAAATGCGAATTACGGTAGGCGCCAAACCTTTAATTATTCGGTAACTTCTTGAGACAATATTGGTCCGAAATGTGCATAGATTTTTTAAATAAAGCTGAGTTAAAGTATTAAGTGTCAAAAAGTCCACGAAGCGGTAAAAATACAACAAAAGTCACGAGTAATCTGTTCCGTTTTCTGAATTTTACGCAGCGATTTATGCGATTTAACGAATTAACAATTTTCAATCCAACGATACCCACCTGAGACTGTGTCAGTTTAAGAGTTCATAGAACTTCTCAGACGATTCCTCGGAAAGACCTCCAGAAGGAAATGAATGAAAAATGAAAATTAGACGAGAGGTAGTTACCTTGAAGAGTAATTGAAGTTCTCTTAAGATATGTGGAGCATTATGGGATAATTATGCATACTTCCTACCTGCCTACTGGTCAGCGGTCACGTTTAAAAGAAGTTATTCAAATGCAAATCAGCAGTGATATAAACCCCAGGAGGCGGCGTGATAACCAGTTCTTCCTGGAGGGCAAATATGATTAGGCCAAGGTCCTCAAGAGAACCAAGGGTGGGAACGTCGAAAAGTAAAAAGAAACAGGGATGGGAAGCATTATCCCATAATGCTCCACATATCTTAAGAGAACTTCAATTACACTTCAAGGTAAGTACCTCTAGTCTAATTTTCATTTCTCTTTCGATATGCTCCGCATTATGGGATAATTATGCGATTTTAAAGAACCGCGGCCTAAACACACTAAGCAAACCCATATACAGCAAAATAGGGCATTTATTAAGATGAAGGCCTAGACCTACTCTAGAACATCTCTCAAATAATGTCTGCGAAAAACATGCTCACTAGACCAATCTGCCATCTTAAGGATATCTGCAACTGGGGTGCCTGTGACATACGCATGAGATGTGGCAGCCCCCCTTACACTGTGTGCTTTAAATTTCGAAGTGTCAATCCCTGCGGACTGTAACACTGACATGATCCACCTAGCTATTGTCCTAGGGGACACTGGATTGTATGGCCTAATGAAGGACAAAAACAATTTAGAAACAAACTGTCCACTACGAGACCTAAGTGTTTCAGAGCGAGAAATATACTCCTTTAACGCAGCAAACGGGCAAACTGAAGCACAACCTGAAGACCAAAATGTGATCTCAATAGAC